GTAAGGGGGTCTCAGTGAGCGGTTCCTGACAGAACACTTTCCGGATCTGCTTCACGGCAAAACTAGCGTAGTCCCTCTTGCATTTGTGGAGCTTCAGCTGCCGGTTGAGCCAGTTCCTAACCTGCCCCATAAAGGTGTTGACTTCACACTGTATCTCAAAGCGGAAGCCCACCGTGGGAGTCTCTGGCTGTAGGTGTACTGCAATGATATTGCTGAGCTTGCTGGCAATAGAGTCAATTACCTCATCAAGTCTTTCGTCCTCTGTGGCCTTCCTTACATCCTCTTCATTTAATAAGATGATGCTCCTTACTATTTCATTGGCCTCCTCCATCAGCTGGCTCAGAGAAGACTGTTGTTCTGGGGCGCATTTATACTTACACCTTAGTTTTGCCATTAGGCCAAGTAGTGACTCCATGGCAAAATGCTTCGCAAAAAAGGCCTTAAGTTTAATTCCCACTGTTTTCCAGTGGGACCTCTTTTCAGATTCGGCCAGCGATTCAGGATGTGAACCCTCTGAATCTAGATGTAACTCCTCCATTGTCTGCCTGACAATAGCAGAAGCCATCTCATCCGCGTCCTCAGAGGTTCCAGTCTCAAACATGTCCACTTCTTCTTCAGAAATTTGGACGTTGTAATTAATTCCACTGATGGTCTCTGCCCTTTCTTGGAGGATGATTCTTACTGCTTCGGTTGTTTTGTCCATGAAGCTCATCTGAGACTCCCCTGTTCCAATCAGTGTAATTTCCTCCACTGGCAAGTTCTCCAGTGTTACGGTGTCTTCTGCAGCCTCCATTGTCAGGCTTTGCTGACCTTTCTTACTGGCGCAGTTTTTCAATATTTTGGCCACATGCCGGACCATGGTTTTCAGTCTATCGGTGAAGGAATATAAGATGAGAGGTCGGCTCCCACCATTGCTGCCACTACTCTCAGAGCTTTTGCAGAGCTTATTCATTCTCTCTGTGACCTCTGTAATGACAGCGTCTGTCAGTTTTTCCACACTTCGGGAACTGATTTCTGGGACACCGATGGCCTCCGCAAAGGCCAGTGAGATAGCGTCCCCAAGACAACCGCGGACGTCGTCTTCAGACACGCTGCTCTTCTGTGATCCGGCTGATCCAAGAGAGCTTTTGGAGGATTTGGGAGTGTCTCTCCCCTTCAGTTCCCTCTGACTAAACACCCCATATATGTGGAGGAATATCGCATTCACGATATCCACGCAAATGTTCGTTACGAACTCTTCGGTCGTCCTATCGATTGACCTGTATTCCAGAAGCGACCACTCTATGGTTGTCAGCTTCTCCAGGCACTGTCGGATGTGTGCGCGAAGGCTCTCTGTTGTGGATTGTTCCATCTTGTCTTTGTCTTGTCTCTGTTATACTTGGATCCAAAGTCCTGAAGAATCTGTGCTTCCTGTGTTTGTTTCTGTGTGCTCAAAGTGACTCTGAACTGAACCAGGTTGGATTTAGATCCTATATATACATTTTCAGACAGAATGTTCGCCTTTGTATCAAAGCAACATTCTATTGGCTTTGGTCTTTGAATGACATCATGACATCATGACATTCTAATGACATCACAGCAAAAGATTAAATTAATAAAAAAAACACAACATTCCGACAATAAAAATATTCAAAAATAAACAAACTTCACTAAAATGTAGTTGATTTAGTCATACACTAAACTATTTGAAATTCTTATTAATAATTAAATTTATAACAACAACACAACAACTACTATTAATAGCTAGTAAGTTGAAGGATTTGGAATTCTGCATAAACGAAGCTGGTATCACCCACTCTTGTGCAAAATGAATTAATTAATGAAAGTTGTAGTGCTTTTAGTCTTTAAGTAGCCGAGGGGGTTGCAAAAGAAAGTAACAGGAAGGTTTAATGTATGTTTGAATGATGTTAGTTTTTATAGCTGAAGACAAATTGAATGTAAAAGTGTGATTTTGTTCTTCTGGACATTGAGATCGCCACCTACAGGAAGCTGCTGGAAGGAGAGGAGGACAGGTGAGATGGAGAACGGGAGGAGGTGATAATTAAGTCTGTGCGTCTCCTTCAGTCCAACTAACCTTTCTGTCTCTGCCTCTGCAGATAATAAACTGAATATCTTTGGGTTTTTAAAATGTTGGTCCTACATAACAACATGTTTAGGAAATGATTACAGTTTTTTTTCATTATTTCTGTCGATTATCATCATTCTATCTCTTTTTAAATCTTTGCTGTCTCGTCTCTCCAGGTACTAAAAGTACTAATGGCTACCACAGTAACAGCTGCTCTCCTGCTCCGAGACTGCTGATAAAGACGACGAGACCAGAGATAACAGCAGATACAGCACTCACTGAGAGGACACACACACACACACACACACACACACACACACACACACACGCAGTGGTGCAATGTAACTAAGTACATTTACTCGAGTACTGTACTTTCTTTTCGTGCCCCTTTCTACATCAGGGCCGCCACTTTTCAGAGGAAAATATTGTACTTTTTAATTATTTGACAGCGTTAGTTGTTAATTACTTATTAAATTAACATTTTTACACAAAAAACATAAATCAATCAGTCCAATAATCAATTCATTGGTTTCTGAAAAATTTACTGGCAACTATTTTGGTGATTGTTCAAGTAATTTTTCATGCAAAATGCTGTTTTTCTTTTGATTATTTAAATGAATAATCGCAGCATGTACCACTCAGTCACACACACACACACACACACACACACACACACACACACACACACACACACACACACATACACACACACACACACACACACACACATATACACACATACATAGAAGAATGTAGAGATCAATTAATGGATATCCTGATAGATTTAGATTAGTTTTATATCCAACACAAGAGTTTTGTTTCCTTAACTTTCACTCTGATGAACTACAGATGTGATCATTCAGTTTAAGTCTCTTTGTTACTTTTCTGCTGTTGCTTCCAGAAATAAAGTGAACATGAACAAAAAGGCTTCGGAGTGTTTTTCTTTCCTGTTTTATTTTAAATTTTTCTATCCATCTTCTACTGAATGTTATTATTTATCACTATGATTGACATTTGCTTTGCTTTTTAACTCACAAAAAAAGGGGAAAAATTCAGAATTAATTAAATTAATGTAAAATATACTGCAGTGATTTAGTGATATTGGATGAATTAAATACTGTTACTCAAAAAATAACTGGAATATGTGATAATATATCTATGTCTGAGGGGATTACCTTGTAGTGGCCTGGATTACTCACTGGTTTTCAAACTGGGGTCCGGGGACCAACAGGGGTCCTTGAGTGGGTTATAGGGGGTCCCCAGTATAAGGAGTAACTTTTATTTCTGCTCTAACTCATCATTATAATGCAGAGAGGTCATTGGTCTCTAAAGTAACTGATCAGCTCACAGTTATAACTGAGTACTGACCTCCAGTGGTTGATTTGTGTTTGGACAAGACAAGTTACACAAGCTACAGTTAGTTCCTTTACACTGTTTACATCAGATTCAATCAATAATCACTCAGTCTCAGATGATTGGTAACCAGAACTAAGATAAGATAGACTTTATTGATCCCACACTGGGGAATTTTACAGCAGCTCCAGATCGGCACAGATAGGAAAAATACACATTAAAGAAAAGTAAAATAGAAAAACACAAGATATGACATAGAATAATAGTTATATGTACACAATATACAGTATTTTTATATGTTTTTTTATATTTTTATAATTGTTAATATGAATATTTATTAATTAATTTTTGCTGTTAAAGATTTATTTATATGCGTGATGTTTGTAAACACAGACTTTAGTTCTATATTTTCCATCATGATTTATTGAGAAACATGATAAATGGAAGTATCTTTGATTTATAGCCTGTATGTGATTAAATCTATACCTGTAATGTATGGTCAAAAATATAGATTTTTCTCTTAAAGAAAAAGACAATAAGACACAGAGCCTATTAGTAAACTTACAGTAAACAGTAAAGTAAGTATTCGTTCTGTAATTGTACATGATTTTTTGTTAATTGACAGATATCTTAATAATTATGGACGTCTTTGCAACAAAAATGTAGAATAAATGTTGTTTATCAGTGTATAAGCATTGCAAACTGTCAAAATACAGTTTTTATCAGTGTAAACAGCAATAATTAGTGTAATTTCACAGATAATGACCTTTATTACAGTTCTATAACTTTTAAAATTCAGATTAAAATAAGAAAAATCAAATAATAACGGCACAATTCTGTAAATGTAGGCCTGATTATTTGTATTATAGCAGTGTTTGCCTGTATTTATAGGTCATTACATTGTTTTTACATGTAAATATCTTTAATTAAACATTAAAAAGCCCAAAAATTACACAAACTTTATTTGAACTAAAGAATAATACTGTATTCTTGTGAGTCAGTTATGATCAGTTATGTTACACAGTATAGTTTTGGCGCCTCAGCCGCCAGAATATTAGTTTTGTTACAAAAAAATAATTATTAGTTACACTATTACTTTTATTGTCACCTCTTACTGACAACAATCAAATCACATCTTTGGATTAATGTTTATAATCATGGAGGAAAATAGTTTGGAAGATGGAAACACTTTTATTGAGTGGGAATATTATAATATATATATTATTTATTTTATTTTAAACAACAACAAAAAAAAGTAAAGTAACTAGCAGTGTTGTTGGCAGGCGGTAAAAAGTAATTAGAGTAATAACATTACTTTTGAAAAGAGAAAAACGTAACATTTGATAATGTTTAATTATTATTTAACGGTTAATTATTAATAAACAGTGAGTAAAATATAATAAAATAAAGTTTTTAGTATCTTCGGTTGCTTAGTAACGCTGGCTGGCTGGAAGGAGCACGAGAGCAGCGGAAGGGGGTTGGGCGGGTACAGCGCGCGTGGCTGACGCTCCCCTCGCCTGTGATTGGTCGCTGGCGAGCAGTTTTCGCGCCAACGCGCTGCATTGTGGGGCTGGTGAGCGGAAGTGCGCCGGTCGTCGGGAGAGCTGGTGTTTGTCTCGATGCGGGTTTCAGGGACAGCTGTCGGGTTTCGGTGTTTTTTTAGGGTTTAAAACTCTCCGGGGAGGATTTTATACAACGGAACCGAGAGTGTGGACCGATGAGGGGCGAAGAGTCGTCGGATTCGGAGTCGGGCAGGATGGAGGAGTCCTCGATCCGGAGCAGTTTGGAGACGTTGTGTCAGGAACTGAACATGGACGAGCACACTGCGACTGAAGCGATGGAGAACTTCTCTAGCATCTGGAACACATACACACTGGAGGTAAACACACACTGTACACACTGGAGGTAAACACACACTGTACACACTCTGTAAACACACACTATACACACATGTAGAGTAAACACACACTGTACACACTAGGTACACACACACTGTACACACTGTACACACACTATACACATACACACACTATACACACTTACACACTATACACACTGGAGACGTAAACACACACTGTACACACACTGTACACACTATACACACTGTACACACTGGAGGTAAACACACACACACACTATACACACACTGTACTACACACTATACACACTGTACACACTGGAGGTAAACACACACTGTACACACTCTGTACTACACACTATACACACTATACACACTGGAGGTAAACACACACTGTACACACTATACACACTGTACACACTGGAGGTAAACACACACTGTACACACTCTGTACTACACACTATACACACTATACACACACTGGAGGTAAACACACACTGTACACACTATACACACACTGTACTACACACTATACACACTGTACACACTATACACACTGTACACACTATACACACTGGAGGTAAACACACACTGTACACACTGTACACACTGTACACACACTATACACACTGGAGGTAAACACACACTGTACACACTCTGTACACACACACTGTACACACTGGAGGTAAACACACACTGTACTACACACTGTACACACTGTACACACTATACACACACACACACTATACACACTGGAGGTAAACACACACTGTACACACACTATACACACACACTATACACACTGTACACACACACACACTATACACACTGGAGGTAAACACACACAACACTGGAGGTAAACACACACACTATACACACTGGAGGTAAACACACACACACACTATACACACTGGAGGTAAACACATACACACTGGAGGTAAACACACACACACTGGAGGTAAACACACTGGAGTGTAAACACACACACACTATACACACTGGACGTAAACACTTACACACACTGGAGGTAAACATATACACACACACACACACACACTATACACACTGGAGGTAAACACATACACACTGGAGGTAAACACACACTAAACACTGGAGGTAAACACACTGGAGGTAAACACACACACACTGGAGGTAAACACACACTGTACACACTGGAGGTAAACACACACACACTGGAGGTAAACACACTGGAGGTAAACACACACACACTGGAGGTAAACACACACACACTGGAGGTAAACACACACACACTGGAGGTAAACACACACACACTATACACACTGGAGGTAAACACACACACACTGGAGGTAAACACACACACACTGGAGGTAAACACACACACACTGGAGGTAAACACACACACACTGGAGGTAAACACACACACACTATACACACTGGAGGTAAACACACACACACTGGAGGTAAACACACACACACTGGAGGTAAACACACACACACTGGAGGTAAACACACATACACACTGGAGGTAAACACACACACACTGGAGGTAAACACACATATACACTGGAGGTAAACACACACACACTGGAGGTAAACACACACACACTATACACACTGGAGGTAAACACACACACACTGGAGGTAAACACACACACACTATACACACTGGAGGTAAACACATACACACTATACACACTGGAGGTAAACACACACACTATACACACTGGAGGTAAACACACACACACACACTGGAGGTAAACACATACACACTATACACACTGGAGGTAAACACATACACACTGGAGGTAAACACACACACACACTGGAGGTAAACACACACACACTGGAGGTAAACACACACACACTATACACACTGGAGGTAAACACACATACACACTGGAGGTAAACACACACACACACTATACACACTGGAGGTAAACAGCTGCTCTAATGTTACTGAAACACACTCTCTGCTTCAGGTATAATAATATCTCCAACAGCCACTGAGAGCAATGTGTGTGTGTTTAAGTTTGTTTACGTCCAACCAGCAGCCACTTATTCACATTATAATCAGCGTTATAAACTTTATTTATACAGCACTGTTTGTCTGTTATTGATTAATCTGATGCTTTGGGCTGTAAAGTGTAAGAAAGTAGTGTGAAAAAGATCCTCTTAATATGTAAAGTCATTAATAGTTTCACCTCTACTTTCAAAATAAAGGTACAGTGTGTTTTCATTCATTTCACAACCACATCTGAATAACATCAGTTAAAAGTATAAAAAGTCACGTAGAATGAAAACACACAAGAATAAAATAGTTAATTAACAAAATACAACAAATAAGACGTGATTGATCTGGAATAATAAAACATATAAAACACCTTTTTTAATTGTGTTAACACACAGAAAGATGTTATTGTTTATGCAAACCTCACATTTGAGAGGCTGTAACCAGCAGATGTTTGATGAGAGGACTATTGATCGTCGTATTGATCCAGTGTCTAAATTAAAGTGTCACAGCAGCAAAGTGAAGAACAGATGTAGAAGCCCTAAATAATTAAAACATAATACACTGTAATATAAGACTTATAACTGAGCACTTAGACACAGTAGTTGATCAGAAATAATCCAATACAACAATTTTTGTTAATTGACAGATATCTTAATAATTATGGACGTTTTGCAACAAACACGTAGAATAAATGTTGTTTATCAGTGTATAAGCATTGCAAACTGTCAAAATACAGTTTTTATCAGTGAAAACAGCAATAATTACTTTAATTTCACACATAATGATTTTTATTACACTTCTATAACTTTTAAAATTCAGATTAAAATAAGAAAAATCAAATAATAACGGCACAATCCTGTAAATTTAGGCCTGATTATTTGTATTATAGCAGTGTTTGCCTGTATTTATAGGTCATTACATTGTTTTTACATGTAAATATCTTTAATTAAACATTAAAAACGTTCTGCCATAAATGAGACGTTTATGATACAGTTAATGTTACAGACGGTGTTAATTATGAATGTCTGTATTAACACTGAGGTCATAGATTATATTATATTACACAATAGAGATATCTCTGAATTTAAAGCAGACGCACATTCAGTAGGTTAACAGACGCGTTATAACACGACAGCCGTCTGTCTGTATTTCCCCTTCAGCCACTGACTGCATTATCCTCATTATCGAATGCACGAATCAAAGAGACTTTACAGCCACATCAGTACGCTCGACTGTGACAGATAACAGCAGGAAGACAGCAGCAGCCACACACTCTTTAAATGGTCTTTAAAACTAATGAATATTATCTTCAATAGATCCTCCTAAATGTTACACACTGAAACGTCAATCTGCCTGCAATCAGATAACATTGATCTGAATCAGTATTTTAAAACTGATGTCAGTCAGATAGCTGCTGAAGTCCTGAATGGAGATGTTTCTGTGTTGTTTTAAGTTACCTACTTAAATGCTGCTATTCACTGAGTCGTTCATTAAACACATCCAGCTGTATTTTCTGCATTAAATGTAATCTAACAATGTAGAAACTGCTGTTGCATCCAGAGGAAGCTTTCACTCTATTTACACAGTGATTTTTAACTACACATATTTCCCTTCCAGACATTTCGCAGTTGTTGTTCGCTGCTTTTCCCGCTCCTGTCGACATGCATGTGTTTGTGGGTCAGCAGTGGGTCAGCGACTGGCTGGAGATTTGTTTTGAACTGTGTTTCTGTGTTTGTGCAGGGAGAGGTGGTCCACTGGTTGGCCTGTTCGCTGTACGCAGCCTGTAGGAAGGGGTCCACTCCCACGGTGGGTAAAGGGTTGATGGAGGGAAACTGTGTCTCCCTCACCAGGATCCTTCGAACCGCCAAACTCAGGTCAGTCACCGTCGACTCCGCAGTACCTGACAATGTGAGAGACATGAAAACATCTGCACATTGTGGGTGTTGTGTTATGATATATGTGTACAACTGACAACCTGTCCTTTAAAATCACTGAGACTTGGTGATGGGAAGTGAAAGCTGACAACTGGCAACTGTGGAGGGAAGTAAAATGTGTAAGATCTGTCAAAGAACTGCGTCATAAACTACAAACTGGAGCTGTATTATGAGAATATGGAAGCTGTTGTAATTACAGTCTGTTGTAAGACGAGGTCCCGATTGAGAAAGATCACATAGAAGGATTATAAACATATATATGGATTTTATTCAGGGCAACTAAAAGCTGTCAGAAGAATGAAAATGTCTTGCTATGTGTGGGATTATTAGTCTGTTACAACTGACCAGTGTGAAGACCAACAGTAGCAACAAGGAGAAGAGAAGACATTTAATAATAATACTAAATTGATAAATAATAAGAAAGTTAATTTTAAAAAGGGGAGATATTATCTTATTGTAGGTAAAATAATCATCAGACTCATTTCAAATATCCAGCTCTGTTTCTTTATTGTACCGTCCAGTGAGCATTAAAAGCCTGCAGATATCTTGTTTATATGTTTTTAGATCAGAGGTCTTGGCGTTTTGTGTGTCGCTCCTAACGCTCCTCTCCCCGTCCTCCCAGTCTGATCCAGTTCTTCTCTAAGATGAGGAAGTGGGCCGACATGTCGAACCTCTCTCAGGACTTCAGGCTGCGGATGGAGCGTCTGGAGCGCAACTTCGAGGTTTCCACTGTGATCTTCCGCAAGTTTGAGCCCATCTTCATGGATATGTTTCAGAACCCGCAGGGAGGGGAGCCGCCACGGCAACCACGCAGCCGGAAACACAGGCACGATACAACACACACACACAGTAACACAAAACAGAGCACACACACACACACACACACACATAGAGTCACACACACACACACACACACACACAGCACACACACACACACACACAGAGTCATGCAGCCCAGTCTAACCGAGTGTGTGTGTCCTCTCTTTGGCTCTGTAGGCGACTCCCCTGTCACATCAGCGATGTGTTCAAGTTCTGCTGGACTCTGTTTGTCTACACCAAAGGTACCAAGAAACAAAACCAAGCCTTTGCATCATCTTTCAGTCTCTGTTGTAACTGTTTTTAGTTTTAATTAACCACTTTACATCTCTAAATAATGTTTATGTAGTTGGTTAGTTTGGGTTAGAGCAGCAACTTACCTTTATTGTCTCAGCTACTTGATTTTAAATTAAACTGGAAGAAATCCCTGTGATGTCTGACAGTCCAACACCCAGGTGAAGATATTCAGTTTCCTCTTATATATTCCAAAGAAAAGCAACAAATCATCCCGTTTGGGAACCTGGAACCAGCTATTTTTGGCATTTTTTAAAATAAAAAATGACTAAAACATCCAATCAGTTATCAAAAAAGTTGCAAAGCTGTAGTCTGGATGCAGATGACCTCTCTGTGATATGTGACTGTGTGTGTGACTGTGTGTGTGACTGTGTGTGTGTGACTGTGTGTGTGTGTGTGTGTGTGTGTGTGTGTGATAAAGGTAACTTCCGTATGATCGGTGATGACCTGGTGAACTCGTACCACCTCCTGCTCTGCTGTCTGGACTTGGTGTTTGGCAACGCTCTGCTCTGCGCCAACAGGAAGGACCTCATCAACCCGACGTTCAGAGGTACAGCTTTAATGTGTGCGACTCTACAAAAAGCTTATTTTATGGCCGCAGTATTCTTGCAGACAGTGTTAATTTGTAATGACTGAACAGACATCAGCTGTAGCTCGTAACGTATCCACCCAATGTTTTCCTGTCAGTTTAACACCAGCTCCAGACTCCTCTCTCTTTTCCTCTTGTCTGAACTTTCATGAAGTGGAGTCAAGTTGAAACAGATGTGTGTTTGCCTCTGGTGAATCTGTGTTTGTTTGTGTGTGTGTGTGCTTGGTTGTAAAAGCCACACTGATTTTAAAATTCACCTTGCATAAAGAGATTTGCATTAAGGTTGGGTCAGTATGTATTCGTCCAACCCTAATTTACATCTGTTTATGGATAAGGAGAAAACATATGCTAATGCCAGCAGCTACAAAGTTACATCTGCTTCTTCTGGGTCAAACAAGTCCAACCAAAAGCTATAAGTAGAAGCAGTCGCTGGCAAGACCCGTCCATGGCGTATGAATTAGTATTCTTATTTATATATCTGTGTGTGTGTGTGTGTGTGTGTGTAGGTCTGCCCGCTCTGTACCGCGCTGACGGCCATGTTACATCGGACGAGCTTCCTCCGTGTGTGTTGGAGAGGTTGTGCGAGCTGCACGACGGGCTGGTGGTGGAGGCCAAAGGCATCAAACAGCACTACTTCAAACCCTACATACAGAAACTGTTCCACAAACAGGTACACACACACACACACACACACACATTTTATAACTTGTACTTTGTTTTAATTTGTTAAAATAACTTTCAACCCAGATTTGAGTTGTTTATGAAAGCAGATATTCTTCTTGTCTTCCTTAACTTTTCCCTGTAACTTTTCCCATCAGATCCTGAAAGGAAACGAGGATCAATTAACAGAACTGTTGGATCCCCAGAACTTCATTGATAACAAGTAAGCCAATCAGAGGTCAAGGGTCATTTGACCTCTGACCATCTGTGAATAAAGTACTGTCCCTAGCTCTGTCTCTGTGTCTGTGTTCCTGAATTAAAGTTTAACATGATGTGAGTGGTTTTCAGAGGAACTGTAGTATTTATCTGTGTGTGTGTGTGTGTGTGTGTGTGTGTGTGTGTGTGTGTGTGTGTGTGTTACAGTAAAGCCATAAACCGGGAGTATGAGGAGTACGTGTTGACGGTGGGAGATTTTGATGAGCGAGTGTTTCTGGTAGCCGAAGCCGACGAGGAAATCGGGACTCCGAGGAAGATCGTTCAGGAACCGTCTGCCAGCCAGACGGCGGCTCAGAACCAGCTGCAACAGCACGTAGAGAAGGTACACACACACACACACACACACACACACACACACACACACACAACATATGAAATAAAGACAACTGATGTTAGTACATGAAATATATTTACAACATTGTATAAGTAACAGCAAACATACAGAAAATCTACTTTTATACACATTGATGATATTATAACACTCTCTCATTGAAACATGGAGTAGAAATAATCTCTCTCTCTCTCTCTCTCTCTCTCTCTCTCTCTCTCTCTCTCTCTCTCTCTCTCTCTCTCTCTCTGTGCAGTCGGGCTCTCTCGCTCCCTCCACCCCTCTGACAGGACGAGTCTACCTGAAGGAGAAGGACCTGCTCGTCACGCCGGTCTCCTCGGCGACGCAGAGCGTCAGCCGGCTGCAGAGCATGGTGTCCGGGTTGAGGACGGCGCCCAGCGACCACCTGATGCAGATCTTCAAGTCGGTTCCTCTTTTTGTCTGTCTGCGTCTGTCTGCGTCTGTGTCTGTCTGTGTCTGTCTGCGTCTGTCTGCGTCTGTCTGCGTCTGTCTGTGTCTGTCTGCGTCTGTCTGTGTCTGTCTGTGTCTGTCTGTGTCTGTCTGCGTCTGTCTGCGTCTGTCTGTGTCTGTCTGTGTCTGTCTCCCCTGTGTCTGTCTGTGTCTGTCTTTTCATAATTTACATCTGTTTCTGTTTATTTGGGGGTTTTAGCTGCACATAATGCTTTTAAATTATAAAATCTGAATCTATAAACACATAACTGGTCAAATACATTGCTTTAATTTAAGGTAGTCATAAATTGTTACTGTGTTTATTTAATAACATTCTCCATAGTAACAGTGTGTCCTGTGCTGATGTTAAAGGTCGTGCACCAGAGATCCCACAGAGTCCATACTGGCCAGAGTAAAGACACTGGGACAAACCTTCAAAGAACATTACACCAACAACTCAGAGGACATGCCCGGCTCTCATATAGGTAACACACACACACACACACACACACACACACACACACACACACACACACAAGTCTGTAGATTTACCTGTTTGGGGATCTCTGACATTCAGACCCAGCAGAATCTTCTGTAGTACATAAAATTATGTTTCTTGTGTCGTCTGTTTCAGACTTTGCAGAGAACCGTCTGAAGCTGGCTGAGATTCTCTACTACAAGATCCTGGAGAACGTCATGGCTCAAGAGACCAAACGGCTGCACGGCAAAGACATGAGTGTAAGCAGCAGCCGCACTCGATTCTCTGTGTGTGTTTTATATCTTTATTTCAGTTTTTCTTGCTGAGTGAAGATTTTGTTGGCTGCTAGATGAATGATAAATCAATCTGTGTGTGTGTGTGTGTTGTTGTCAGGTGTTACTGGAGCAGGATATCTTCCACTGTTCTCTGATAGCGTGCTGTCTGGAGGTGGTGTTGTTCTCCTACAGCTCCCAGAGAACCTTCCCCTGGATCATCAACATCTTCAAACTGACCCCATTCTACTTTTTTAAGGTCTCACGCTCACTCAAAAACTCTTCTTTACATCTTTAAACAGCCAGTGGCGCAGTCTGTTGGATATAAAGTCATTTCACGTCCCTGCTCGTGTGTGTGTGTGTGTGTGTGCGTGTGCGTGCAGGTGATCGAGGTGTTTATCCGCTCAGAGGAAGGCCTGTCCAGAGACATGGTGAAGCATCTGAATTCGATCGAGGAGCAGGTCCTGGAGAGCAGAGCGTGGAGCGCAGACTCTGCCCTGTGGACCGCCCTGCAGGCTGCTGGGAACAAGATCCCCACAGTGGAGGAGGTCAGCACGAAATACACACAGAGAAAGACACACATGCTCATGTATATATGTATATACAGCACATAAGTTTAGAGAGAAACACTCTCAGTACTGTCTGGATTGAGACATTGAGAGGGAATAAACACAAGTAGACATCAGTATAATCTCTCAAACTCACTCACTCAAACAAGTCGTTGAGATTCAAACTACAAACTAACACTTATTTCTGAGTTATTTAAGACGTCTCCACACTGAGAATAACTGTAATTAAGGAACCCCATGTGCAGATTTCTTGTCTTGAAATAGAAAATGAAGTCTAAATCAGATTATTTTAATTGTCTTCTTACTGCCTGGTTATTTTTAAGCCTCGTTAAGACTTTGTTGTAGGACTTTAAAGCAACACTGTAATATTTGGTATTTGTGTTTGCAATGTGGCGCCCCAGTTTCAGAGTGCAGTAGCGCTCTGGTAAACACGGACAGGGAGTTAAAAACTAGTGAGTCAGCAACTTCTCTAACACAGCAAAACATCCAGCAAGTGTGGAGGCCAAAGTTACGAGAGCAGTTCATCCTCTTACAACTCAGTGTAGCATCAAAATGACTTTGAAGCTGTTATTTTGTGGTAGAATAACTTCATAATGAGGCTTTAAACACCCAAAAGGCTTTACAGTGTGGAAGGAAATGAAAGACAGAAGAAGAAGAACAACAACAACAACAACATGTATTCAGAACAGTGTTTATAGTTTGTTTATTTGCCGGAACTGGCAATCAAACTGAAAGCAGCAGTTGCACAAACATGGGAGATAATTCCTGTCTTTGTCTGTATTTCACTTTTCTCCCTCCTCTCATCTCTCTCTCTCTCTCTCTCTCTCTCTCTCTCTCTCTCTCTCTCTCTCTCTCTTTCTCTCTTTCTCTCTCCAGGTGAATTTTTCCTCCAGTCTCGACACAGGTTCAGGTCCTGGTTCTGTTTCTGTTCCTGGTTCTGCCAGTGGAGCTCAAACCCACCTTCCTCTGGTCGCCCTCTCCCCCATCATCCACCCCCGCATCAGGGAGTTCAGATCAGGCCTGGGCAGCGCACGTAAAGGTGGGTGTTCAGGTGTTCAGGTGTTCAGGTGTGTTCTCTGTGCATGCAGGTAACGTCTGAACTTCATTATCTGTTTTCTCCCCCGCTCCAGATGTGCCTCCCTCTCCGTTGTCGGTCCATGACCGGTACAGCTCCCCGGCAGCCGGCAGTGCCAAACGGCGTCTCTTTGGCGACGACCCTCCCACATCAGGAGTGGCCCCCAGCATGAGCCCGCTGTCGTCGCCGGCCAAGAGGCTGACGTTCGGCTCCAATAACACCCTGAGGATCGGGACTCAGGGCACCCAAGCCACCGTCCTTAGTTTCCCACTGCAAGGTACGACGATACATTTACATCACTAAAGCTTCAGCATCTTCTTTGTGTGTTCAAAGTAAACAACTGCAACTAAAGCCCCCCCCCTCAGAAATACACCCCCTTTAGATGGGGTAACATTTCCATTTCAACACAACACAGGTTTGAATTAAATGTCAGATTGTTGTGAAGGACGGAAACATGCAGAGAGAGAAACGTGTGATATCACTGAAGTACATTTAAGATCTCTGTCATTATCTTTTATGCACAAAGGAAATAAAATCAGTTTAATAAACTATGAAAGAGCTTGTTTAAAGTAAGAATAATAAGGAAGAATCTCCTCAGATCATTATTTTCCCCTCGTGGTGCCACCGGAGCAAACTCCAGTGTAATGATTATCATTGTCACATTATCAAACATCTTGTTCTGCAATTAAACAGGAACCATAATGTGAATCAACTCTGTCTAACTCTGATAGCAGCAATCATAAAGCCTCTAATTATCAGCAGCTTTGTGCTCTCGGTTTATATTGAAGGTCATTTCAACCACACGGGGGCTCCAGTCTGCTCAGTGATGTAAAATATAGTAAAACAAACACAATGCTGCACATTGATTATTTTGTGTGTGTGTGTGTGTGTGTGTGTGTGTGTGTGTGCATGTGTGTGTGTGTCAGCAGGTATGAGTAACGACCGCACTATTACACTGATCCCGGTGCAGCCGTGTGACTCCTCTGGTACGATCACCGCTCAGTTCCTGCTGACCGCCTCCCCGAGCCGAGTCGCCTCAGCACCCACGGCTTCCTCGGAGCCACAGGCGGGAATCGGTCGGCCGAGACGAACCGGATCGCTCGCTCTGTTCTTCAGGAAGGTGGGAAACACTCAGCGTCTCAGGATTGTTGTGTACCGACTGTGAATCCCTTTCCTATCTGTTCTCTGAGTGTTGATCAGTCGATCCACCAACCATACACTGAACACAACATAGGACATTGTAGTGATTATGTTTCATTCATATTGATGTTGTGTCTCCCCCCACTGGAGCTGAAACTACGTTATTAATCTGTATCTCTCTTCTAGTATTTAATCATCCCAGCACTGCAGCGGTGTGTCTTTGATAAAAATAAAATGTAGTTTTAAGGACTTTTCTACATTTCCTTTTTATTATTTTGTGAATAGTTGTGCTACTTTGTTTTGTTTATGTTGTTTATGTCTAATCGGGTCTGGTTAGCTTCCACTTTGTCTGACTGAATATAAACACATGTATGTAGGCGGATGTTTCAGTCTTGTGATCAACTCGTCTCTGTGTGTGTCTGCAGGTGTATCACCTGGCCAGTGTGCGTCTGAGGGATTTATGTGTGAAGTTGGACATCCCGTCGGAGCTGCGAGGGAAGATCTGGACGTGCTTTGAACACGCTCTGGTCCACTGTACCGATCTGATGCGGGACAGACACCTGGACCAGCTGCTGCTGTGTAGCGTTTACATTATATCCAAAGTGAGGAGACAAGTTTGTTCACCAAATGCTTCATTTTTAATTAAGAAAAAACTGGCTACTATGGTTTAGGGATGCAGTGTTGCCTCACAGGTAAATATGTTTCTGGCAGCGTAACAGTTTAATTTGTAAATCCACATTTTGGCCTTAGAGAGAAATATGTTTCTGGCAGCGGCTCTGAAAAACCTGAGTGTCTGCCAGAGAAACTCAACTCACAAAATCCTTGGCTCACGTATCTTTAAATTCTCTCTAACATATTTGTATATTTGTATGCACTTATGAAGGTCACATTTTATTGATTATAAAATGTAAACAGCCAATTAGAAACCCAGTTGCCCGTATACATGGCGGAGAAATCTGCGTTCTCCAGGAAGAATTAAGCTGAATAAATGAAGTTTTATGCTCAATGAAAACCAGGTTTCTCTTTCATGCGACATGTAAGAAATCATGTTCCTGGAGAAAAGCCTGTGAACACACTGGTTGTAATTCCTGTGACTCCCTCTTTCCTCACAGATCACCAAAGAGACTCACACCTTCCACGACATCATGAAGTGTTACCGCAGCCAACCGCAGGCCAGCAGCCATGTAAGACACACACACACACACACACACACACACACACACACACACACACACACACAATGTTTACCATTATAATCCAACAACAATCTACAAACTGGGTTACAGATTATAGATTAACAGTAATAATAAAAACTGTATTTATGTGGAGCTTTTTATATCATAATTACAAAGTGCTTGTGGAAGCTTACTTTACGTGTCTGTGTGTACGTGTGTATATATGTGTGTATATATGTGTGTAAATATGTGTGTGTACGTGTGTGTAGGTGTACCGCAGCGTCTTACTGCGTCACACTCCCAGAGAGCAGGTGGCTGATGAGAACATGGAGGTGGATCCTGTTTCAGGAGGCGAATGTAAGATATCACACACACACACACACACCCACACACACACACACACACACACACACACACACACACACACACACACACACACACAAATGCTTCATAAACACTCTCAGATGGTGGCCTGAGTTTAACTTAAAATAACAGTATTATTACTAACCTGTCACAGGCTGAATACAGTGTTTGTACTTGAGTTATGCTGTTTGTATATACGTGTTCTGACTTTATTAACAACATTTAGGTCCTTTATTTAACATCCAATTTAGTTTACATCCACTGAACACACCAGGGATGCTACTAACGATCATATTCATTATCAATAATATTATTTTGACAAAAAAGTGTCAGATGAAAATATTCAGTTTACTATAATGAAAGAAGATTCTCACATTTGAGAACCAACAACCAGCAAGTTTTGTCGTCTTTTGCCTAAAAAGTGATTAAACAATGAATCAGTTATTAAAATAGTTGATTTATCGACTAATTGATTATTCAGCTCTGATAAAAGGTCTGTGAGGATTCAGTTCATGATGTTTGTTTATCTGACTAATCGATTTAAAACTATTGATCTTTATGTTTCTTCAGCTGCAGAGAAAACCAATCAGGTCTCAGGAGAAGCAAACTCCAACCAACCAGGGGAGGAGGAGCGCGGCGACCTCATCCAGTTCTACAACGGCGTCTTCGTCCTGAAGGTTAAAAGCTTCGCGCTGCGATACGCCACCCACGACAACCGGGTACGACGCCCTCACAGCGCCACTTGTTGTGTAGCGATGAACCAGCGTAAAGAACTGGGTTCACTGTTACATCATCTGACTGTGTGTGTGTGTGTGTGTGTGTTGTGTGTGTGTGTGTGACCCTCCAGGCGGACGCTCCTCCTCTCTCGCCGTTCCCGTCGGTTCGGGCTCAGCCTCTCTCTCCTCGCCGTATTTCCCAGAGACACTCGCTGTACGTCTCCCCTCACAAGAACTCTGCAGGCTGCCTCACGCCGAACTCCTACACCTACAGGATCAACAGCAGCCCGTCCAAGGCAAGCACACACACACACACACACACACACACACACACACACACACACACACACACACAATTACAAACAACAGTGGCCTTCAAGTGATAAACAGAAACAACTACTCAACAGCTGCTTCTTTGCTTTTAATATCAACCCACAAGTCTCATTTTTTACCTCCTATTTTAACGCCTCTGTTCAGCTGTGATGTGAAAACGTCAGATCTCTGTCGCCCTCCGTCTCTGTCACAGGTACAGTTTTGTAGTTTGTGGTCGTTTTGAGACTCTCTGTGTTGATATCGTCTTTATGAATGAGTCCGCCGCCTCCGGCTCGCTCTGCAGACGTGACATCTCGCCTGAACCGTACAGAGAAGTGTGAGAATACATCTGACAAGTTGTTTAGAGTTTACGTCTTTCTTTCCAACGAGTCGAGGCGGAGGCTGTGGTTAAAGTATTATTTATTTCTGCTGGTTGCCGTTCGTATTCTTCTTCTCATGGCATTAATGGCAGACTAGAATATGTGTAGGTGTTTGTGCTGCCCCATCAGTTCCCCGTCTGTAGGTACAGTAATGTGGAAAAACCAGTACCGGCACATGGTACCGAAGAATCTGTTCTTGTGACGTCCTGAGTGAACTGTTCCTTTTATCAGACATTTCTGAACCACAGCTGACTTTTTAAATTAATGGATCAAAAGAAAAATAATAAATAAAAATAATCTGCAACTATTTTGATACCAGATGAATCGTTTCAGTCGTGTATGAAAGAAAAACAGTGAAAAATTTCTCAGTTTCCAGTTTCTCAAATGGGAGAATTTGCTGTTTCTCTTTGTATATATAAGTTGTTCTTCACTTCATAGAACAATCAATAATCAATCAATAGTTATTTCCTGATGCTCAGTTGTAGCTTCAGCCCTTCCAACACTAACCTTTTACTCTCTCTCTTCCTCTTCTGTCTGTGTCGCTCCCTCCGTTCAGGAGTTATCGGACATCAACCGGATGATCCGGCAGGGCTGCGTGAGCAGGAAGAGGGCCTTCACCATGGAGGGGGACGTCATGATGTCCTCATCGTGTGACTCCCCCAGCAAGAGGGCGTGTCCAGAGAACGGCAGCAGTCCAGATGTGCTGCTGAAGCGCCTTCAGGACGTCGTGTCGGAGCGGCAGAGTCACTGAAAACATTAAAGTAATGAATCCATTACAGAAGCCCAGTTTCTGAAGCTACCAGGTACTCGAGGAGGAATTATGAAACTAAACAGTCGGAGTCTGTTTTTATCACTGACGCCCGTTTTGACCTTTATACTTTATGACCGGAGGGTCGTAGAACCTGAGCAGGAAATAATGGCATTGGCCATTTTGTTTTATCCAAAGCAGTTTGTAATTGTAGTCCCAACCACAGACGTCTAACTCTGTTACTAATGATAATATCTGAAATGTGATATTTGAACAGAGTAGAGCAGACAAACAATCTCTCGTCAAGTAGCTCAACGGTTTCCTGCTTTTCAGTATCTTCAGTCTCTGTTAAACTCTGCTGGAGGAAACTCTTTAATCCCAGATATTTGGATATTAGTGCTGTAATTCACTCCTAATGTTGTTAAACATTGTCAGCGGCTAGATGGCAGCACAAGCAGCGTTATCAGTTACTCTTTAAGGATAGTTTCACTGTTTACTGAGTGCCTTTATAATACTGTATTGGCCTGAATATAAGACCCTCCTGATTGTTAGATAACACTTAAAATACTTCTGAAGACAGGAAGGTTTCCAAGAGATGTTGTGAACGTGAAAACATGAAATACTTAGATTAAGACATTATTAAATTCAATTAAACATACTCACTTAATGAGTAGAAAAGCAAAGATGGATGATTTAATATTGAATAGCTTTGTTCTAACCAAATCTAACAACTTAAAATCACTATTGTTAACAACAACAAAGAACAGTTCTGACTCTTTAAAGGTTCCTTTAGTTGATTGTAACTGAACACTTTAACTCTAACGGACATTAAGACACACATCGAAGGAGAATATCTGCTCCACTTTTAAAACGTAACCATCAAAAGAAGGTCTTTATATTAGGAGCATTACGGTAACATCACAGGCAGATATTTCAGAGTGATACAGAAACCGTTTATTATGAGCTTTAAGTCACATTTCACATCTGGGTTGCCGTGACAACAGTGGAGCGCACACGTTTCAGTCGACTCTCACGCCGGCGATGTTTGACAGCTTTGTTTTCTGCTCACGTGAAATAAAGGACAGTATTAAAGAGATTGAAAGTTGAAAAGCAGGAAGGTCGAAGCTTCTTCACGTCAGCTGAACTTTGAACTTGTGTAAATAGTTTTACTTCACCAGGACAAATCAAGCTCTATTGTACATTCTCTGGTATTAAACACGTCTTCCCGCCACGATATTTGCAGAGGTCTCTGCTTTTTGTAGAGATTTTATTAGTGAAACAAAAGTGTCTAATTTTATTCTTTAGCTGAGTGTTTCCCTTTTTAATGTTTCCTGTTTCTGGTTTTGAACCATTTAATGTTGATTAATGCTGTAATAACAGACTTAATGCCAACAAGGATTGACTGAAGCAGCATTTGTGTACCAGAGTGTGTGTGTAGTATCTACACTTCTTTTTCTATGGACTTTAACATTTTAGAAAACGATCTATGACTTTAAACATTTTCATTTTGTTCAGTCCTGAATGTTAAAAGATGCAAATTAAAAAGCGTTGATTTTGTTTCCAAACTACAAAAAGTACAATAATGGGAATCTGTGAGCAGGGAAATCGTTTGTTTCTCACTTTGTGTATTTGAGCTTTTCTTCAACCCACTTCAAGGAAATTTGTATTTTCTACAAACAGTCAACGTTTTGTACAATAAAACTTTCTTTGACAACTCTGTGTTCATTCATTTGTCTTCCTCATGTGGCCACAACTGTCTGTAAACTGTCTGTAAACCCGACACCAGTAGGATTATAGTTCAGGTCCAGAAACACTGAATCTCTTTTATATTTGAGATTAAATGTTCATTATATGATCGAAAGCTCTAGAAAATCCACTACATTGACCTCCTGGTGAGATTTTCTCAAATGCTGTTTCAGTTATTATTATTATTATTTTATTGGTATTTTCAGTGTCTGACAGCTGTGAAACAACACAGGCAGAGGGAGTGAGACACCATGTTTAATAAAAAAGTAAACAAATAAACAGCTGCCTGCCTGCGACCAAATAAACAATGTGTATGAGAGCGAAGCGAGGGAACAGAAACCGTAAAGTCGCAGCCATAAAACCTAAAAGATGAAGCTAAAAGTGGATAAATAATAAATAAATGAATAATAAATAAATCATCCACTGTTTACATATAAAAGTATAGATTATATAATGTTTGTGCAGCTCAGAGGGAAAGGTGTGTTCCTCCTGTTGAGAGAGAGAGAGAGAGAGTGAGGTCCAATACATAATGCATCCTCTCGGGGGCCTTGATCGCTGGGTTACCACGGCAACCCTGTCAGTTTCCATTTCCTACCCGCTGAATCTCAGTGAGTGCGTTTCACTCGTGGCCCGGTTCTGAGTCCTTCCCTGTTTGTGTGTGTGGATATAAAATAAAGCTTCTGTTTTATTTCTACTGCACTTTTACTCGAGTATCATCCCGGCGCCGCCTCCACCGTCTCCAGCTGGTACAGAACGCCGCTGTGCCGCTTCTTACTGCCACATGGAAATATAATAACCCATCAGCCGGCTGCTCGCCTCCCCACATTGGCTCCCTGTTAAATTTCAGATTGATTTTAAAGTTTTATTGCTCACTTTTAAAGCTTTAAACGGCTCCCACATTCACACTGTTGATTTATTATCCCTGTATGGGCCCCTCGACCCTTTAGACCCGTGGATGCAGCCCTGCTGGTTCTTCTCAGACGCACTACATCTCTTCTTCTAAATCTCTTTTAAAACTTTTCCTTTCGTGCAAACTTATTATAATAATTATTATATTGTTATTGTTATAACTTAGGGATATTTCATGTGTTTTTATTTGTTCTTACTCGATCCATCGTTTTATTACTTTATTTTATCTGCCTTGCTTTTTCCTCTCCACTTAAGAAAAGTGCTATATAAATAAAGTTTATTATTTTATTATCATATATAAAGCTGGTTATTCATCTCCCTGTAAACACGATGTAACAGTATCCAGGTTCCTGATCAACCAATCAATCAAACTTCATTTATATAACAAACAAATGCAGTTTTTCAAGCGAATCAATAAAAGATTGATAGTTAGGATTTGTAATACTACTCAAAATAAATGGATTATAGTAAAATGTTAATAAATATAGAATTATTATCTATAATAAAATGATAAACGCTGACTGAATCTGATCTAAATCTGCCTGCAGGTCTTCATTTCTCACAATCTGGATCAGGTGTTCACACGTCACAGTGATCTGGTTTCTTAAAACCAGGATAAATATCTTCTGAAACCATATAAACAAACTCATTGAGGTCTTTTCTCTGTAGATGTTTTCTTTTTTGACCTTCAAACACATCATCAGCTTAAATGTGAATGAGAAATATCACATTTAATTCTTATGTTTTCAGCCTAAGAACTAATTTCAGGTGGCGTTAAAGTTTCTGGCTCCGTATTGAAGGTCTGACCTCAGTTCATGAGTCACAGTGGATCTGAAAGGGAACATTTACCAGAGGTGGGAAGCAACAAAGTTTTAATGCCTTTGAGAGGAACCCCGTCATTGGACGCCAACATCAGGACAGATGTAGATCACACGACAGACGAAGTGTTTCAGTTCAGCTTTACACAGAAACAATCGGTAGAAATGTCCTTCAGAGAGACAAAGAGACAATCAGTAATTCTACTTTTAACTTTTTGATTTGTCTCATTGATCAGTGTTTGGAAACATCAGTGTCACAGTTATCCTGTTCACATCCCATCTGTTTGGTAAAAATGTGCCTCTCTCCTTCCTTTCTGAATGTGGCGTTTCCTCCCTGTTCTTCCTGTCTGTCAGGTTGCTTTCTCTACCTGCTTGTTACCATGACAATACACTTCTTTCACCAGTTTCTTTGAATAAAAGTAATTCATCCCTGTGAGATGACTCACCCGGGAATGCAAAAACACATGTGGAGGTGCAAAGTGGTTTTCCTCCGGCTGTTGATGAATAACAAAGAGATGATTATAAGTTCTTATGAAACGGGTCCGTGTGCGTCAGACAGAAAGCTAAAGCCAATGAGCTCGTCACATAAGAACAGCAGACGTTCCACCTCTACCTCCAACAGATCAAACATCAATGTGGCAACAGAGGAGAGAACTGAGGGTTATTATCTGGGTTGGTTTAAAATCTGTTATTTTCCTGAACCATGTAGAACTACGTATGAATGAGCACTGACAGTGAATAATAATATATCTGGTTATCAGGGCTCCTGACAGTGGGGGGGGGATATATCAGGCAGACAGTGAACATTTGGTCTTCAGAGTTGATGTGTTAGAAGCAGGAAAAATGGGGAGCGTGAGAATCTGAGCGACTTTGTAAAGGAGCCAGATTGTGATGGATGACTGGGTCTGCAGAGGTTAGTACCGATCAAAAGTAGTCCAAGAAAGGAACAGAACCAGAGACAGGGTCATGGGGCGGCTGAGGCTCATTGATGCAGGTGGGGAGTGAAGGCTGGCCCATGTGGTCCAATCCAACAGACGAGTTACTGTAGCTCAAACTGCTGGAACAGTTAACGCTGGTTCTGATAGAAAGGGGTCAGAACACACAGTGGACCACAGACTGTTGGTCTGGGTCCGGTGCTCATAATGTTTTACTTTGAGTGATTTAAAGGTGACGTTTTTAGTTTTAGTTTTTAATTTCCTGTGTGTTAAATAAAGTAAAGAGAGACTCAGAGAGAGAACACTGCAGCAGGTTCTTAGTAATTGAACACTGTGAGGAATAAAAGAAACCCATAATGCTTCATATCCCCGTGAATACAATATCCTTTTCCCATCCTGTTAAACTGAATACAATGGCCTGATCTAAAATTAGCCCAGCTGAGTATTTAGGCCACCTCTGTAAGGAGCTGCCTGTGTAACGACAGAAAAGCCTCTCAGTGGTTTCTCCGTGCTCACACACACACACACACACACTTCCTCTGACCTTACGTCTGCACAAGGTGAGCGCTGATAATCTGCCGGAGGCTGGGAGAAAAAACGATGCCAGACGCCGTGACATGAGATTATTCTACATTTCACGGGTGGTTGCTTTTTACATGGATGACTTCTCGCAGACAGCCGGTGTTTTCCTTCGCTGAGGCCGAGTTCAGTATCTGACTCTGTCCCGTTCCTCGCTCTCCCTCCCCGGGGAGAGTTGACCCTTTCTCTAATGCATGTAAACCACTTGTCCAACAGCCAGACCTCATGTCCCAGCATCTAATCCTGTTTACAATATTACACGTTCTGTAACAACTCTTTGTCTTTGGCTGTAGGGATGGCAGCGTCGATCAGTCGGTCTGATGATTTCCATTAAAGCACTTGTTCCCAACCTTTCTCCTTAAGGGAAATAGTTTTATTAAACTGAGTCAGTGAGATATTTTATGGATGTTTCATTTTATATTAAAACTGTACAAGTGAAGTTTGTTTAAAATGAGTGATTTAGATGAATTATTTCCTGTTTTGGGAACTTTTTATACAATTCTGTGTCTGTATTATGTATTTATTCTATCCTTTTTTACAATCATACAAACTTCATACGGCTTCTTTTTTTGACAAATTCATTATTTTATTCTTATTATTCAGTCAGATGGAAAAACTGAAGATTTAAATCTTTCAAAACTGCTCACAAATGTTATTTTATTTAATTTTATTTAAGTCTCAGTAATTAAAACAGCTGCCCCCTGTAGTTTTTAACAAATGTTACTCAAACAGGAGTAAATAATGCCTTTGTTGGGGACTATTTTCAGTGGCGGATTAATCCACATTTTGTCCTCTAGTGCAGTGGTTCCTAACCCATGGTTTGAGACCCCCACTAGGGGTCGTCAAAGGGGGGGTCACGAGGCCTTCTTGATTTTAAAGCGCGTAAGACAAAAGTATTTGGTTCACTTCATAAATAGTTTTTTAAAGAGCCCTTCAGGAAAAAGGTTGGGAAGCAGAGATACACCGAATATCTGGGGCAGCAGGACGGTGAATGTGGGACTAAATAAACTACAGTGTGTGTGTGTGTGTGTGTGTGTGTGTGTGTGTGTTGTATGTAACTACAGTGTGTGTGTGTGTGTTTGTGTGTGTGTGTGTGTGTGTGTGTGTGTGTGTGTGTGTGGTGTGAGTTAACTAAGTGTGTGTGTGTGTGTGTGTGTCTGTGTGTGCGTGTGTGTGTGTGTGTGTGTGTGTGTGTGTGTGTGTGTGTGTGTGTGTGTGTGTGTGTGTGTGTGTGTGTGTGTGTGTGTTGGTTGAATTAACTACAGTGTGTGTATGTGTGTGTGTGTTTACTGTGTGTGCGTGTGTGTGTGTGTGTGTGTCGGGTGTGTGTGTGTGTGTGTGTGTTGGTTGAATTAACTACAGTGTGTGTGTGTGTGTGTGTGTGTGTGTGTGTGTGTGTGTGTGTGTGTGTGTTGGTTGAATTAACTACAGTGTGTGTATGAGTGTGTGTGTCTGTGTGTGTGTGTGTGTGTGTGTGTGTGTGTGTGTGTGTGTGTGTGTGTGTGTGTGTGTGTGTTGGTTGAATTAAACTACAGTGTGTGTATGAGTGTGTGTGTGTGTGTGTGTGTGTGTGTGTGAATAAATACAGTGTGTGTGTGTGTGTGTGTTGTGTTGAATAAACTATGTGTGTGTGTGTGTGTGAGCCGGTTAAAAACACGTTGTGACGTTTATTTAGATGAATTTTTTTTTAAATGACTGGATGATTAATGATTGATGTATTTATTATATATATATATATTTATATTTTTATGGTTTTTATAATAAAATGTTCATGTTTGTTCACCAGAACATGTGTTGCCATGGTAACGGGCAGGGTTTCTCCGTGGGGATTATAATCTTTGAACACCAAGAGGGAGCAGGTTTTTATTTATTCATCTTTCTAATCTGTATAAAACAGACAACATTACTACGTTAAATCTCATTTATATTATTATTATATTAATATTATATTGTAATGTGATATTCTGTCTCTGTGTCTCGGTTTATTATTATTTATTCTGTATTTCTTTCTAATCATTTTCATGGTTTTAATAACTACTTTTTCTTGAGAGTTTTGTTGTTTTATTTGAATAATTTTATACATTTGTTGTGTTAAAAAATCCCCATGTGTACAAATCTTTATGTGATAAGAGGAACTTAAACATGAACTCACCCTTTTACTTAATACGAGTAACATTCCCATCAGCCTTTAAGATGGTGAACGTGGTTAATATTCTGTCGCAACCTAAAATGTCTGATTTCTTGCATTGAAATTGTAGTTGGAGTTGAAAAACAAGTTGCAATTGTTTTGTATAATTCCCTAAAAATCAATGCCAGTAAGAATAAAATCATTAGTTGTTTGTTTGAATTTACGTTAGTTGTAAATATCAACTTCTCAGAGAGACATTATAGCTGCTCAAAGGATCAGTTTAATAAATCTATCTTAACATAAAGAGTTATTGATCGCTGTAATTGTCCCATACTGAGCTGTATTCAAACCACCAGAGGTCACTAACCTCGCACACTGGTCCTTTAAGAGATTTTATTCTGTTTATTGCAGCAAATAAATCTCAAATTCATAAATTACATATTTTGTGGATTTTGGAGCCAAAAGTAAAAAAAGTCTTTCCACAAGAAAAATCACTGTACCAGTCAGATATTAATCTCCTCATTGATTAGTTTCCTGTAGTTGATTGTTGTTACCCTCTGCACACATTGCTTTATTTATTTATTTATTTATTAATGAATAAATCTGATGTGGCTCTGTCCATCTCTCCTGTGACTCTAAAAAAAAAAAAAAACCCGCCACCAGCTCCTCAGACTCCAGCAGAGGAAACCACAGGCTGCGTCTGCGCATGGTCAGTCTCACCCCGCTCCCCTCTCTCTCTCTCTCTCTCTCTCTCTCTCTCTCTCTCTCTCTTCTCTCTCCCTGCATCCTCCTCACACATGATCCAGCAGCATCCATCTCTCCGGATGTCCACAGTCCGTCTGATCCTCCGCCTGGTCGCGGCAGCAGCACCAGGTAAGAGCCCGCTGTCATCCCGATCACTTTCCGCCATCGCCTCTCTCATCGATAACCCCCCCCTCCACCTCCACCCCTTCCCACCCCGCAGATGATCGATGTTTATTCGGATTCAGCGGGGCTGCGGGGTGGATGCTGCCCGCCTGGATACCGAATGCATCTCCGGTGTTTTCCCTCCGGAGGATTCAGCACTTATGTTGCATAATGTCTCAGAATAAGATCCATCCTCCGGGTCGGACTCTGCCTCCGCTGTCAGTCCGCGTTATCTGCCTCCAGGTCCGGGTAATGAATAACGTGTCAGTCGGTGTGTGGTTCTTATCTGTCCCGGTTCATCCTGATATTATCTCTCCTCCACACACACACACACACACACACACACACACACACACACACACACACACACAGTGAGTGTAGTGGTCCAGGTTTTGGCAGTTTTTGGCGCATCACAAGGTCACAGTGATGGTGACGACCGGACACCTTGCCCATGGGCACTCAGGCTCTCCTCCCTGCGGGGGCCGAAGTGCTTGATGTGTCGGGGGATAAACGGTAACTGTGTCAGTGGAGCTCGCCGGTTAATCTCCGGGTTGTAGAAACTAAATAAATAAATAAATAAATGATGGTTTCCGTGAGGATAAATGAAGAAAATGCCACATTTTGTGGAGGGAATCTCACCTCATGGTTTGGTGTGATGTGATGGGAGAGGGGAAAGTGTGTCAGGAGGAGAGATGGCAGCTTTATAATGAAGATAATGAAGATATCATCCTGCTTTTAATGTTCACTTCTGATCACAGGGTGCGAAAGCTGCTGTTTGAACACGCCTGAAATGCGCATGAATGCGAGGTTCACACCCAGAGCTGTGAGGTGTTACCGATGCACACACTGAGTTTATTCTCTGGAAGATTATATGTTAAAAAAACTAAAAGAAAAACTTTGATGAAATTATTTTCTATTTTATTTTATTTGTTGTTTTTTATGCACTTTATTCCACATGCTCATATATGTGTGTGTGTGTGTGTGTGTGTGTGTGTGTGTGTGTGTGTTTGTAAGTCCATCTTTGTGAGGACCAGTTTGAGTTTAGAGTGAGGACATTTGTGCAAAGTGAGGACGCTTTAAGGTTTAGTTTTATTATTGAAGTGTGAACCTGTTGTGCCGTCACTCATCGGTTTGTGGAGTCCTGCTTCGAAGCCTTGATTTTGGCGTTGTTGTCGTTGTCTTGGCGGTTTGTCGGAGCCAGCGGAGGTCACGTAAAGCGAGTGGAGCGGCTCTCGTTGGCTGCTCTTGGTTTGGAAACAAACGGCGCCTCGCCTGCTCACACACAATCTCGTTTTACAGATAAACAGCTAAAATATGTTTCTGAAATATTTTTAGGAGAGAAATAGTCAACAACAGAATCTGGATCCAGATCTGATCAGCACTGTTTGACAGTTTGATCTGAGTTTGGTGCGTTGAGCTGGACGGACTCACTGAGAATGAGCTGTCAATCACAAGGTAGCCCCGCCCTAAAGCATACCCTGCTTTATGGTCTGTTTTACTCTAAATGGGACGGAAAGTAACACGACTGAGTCTCTTTAGGGAGTATAAACAAATAAAATGTGTATTATAATTAACATATTATGTACACAATAATACAAAAATAAAGATTTCTGAAGGGTTCTCATCATATTTAATGGTGAAGTGTAGCGTATGAGAGCGGGTCCTATGGTCTACATAGTTGTTTTAAAGGTTTTACATGATTGATTGATTGCTTTTAAGGATTAGGTCACAATTAGTCTAAAGGTTGTGGTTTGTGTGTGTGTGTGTGTGTGTGTGTGTGTGTGTGTGTGTGTGTGTGTGAGATGGATTCATGCTGCTTCAGTCGAGGAACCAGGCCTGAAGATAAAAACCTCTCTGTTGCAGCAGAACTGCTTAATTTTTAACAGTTTTATTGATTTGGTCTCATAAACTGTCAGTGGAGAAGTCTTCAGTAACTATTGGCCTTTTATTCTACTGCATATATTACAATATTATTATTGATTACTTTATACTGTTGGGTAAAAGTCATATTTTATAAACTGATTATATGTTTTTCATATCAAATCTTGAGCTAAATTAATGTAAGTTAATTAATTATTTCACTGTAAACCCTTTAATAATCCAATAATATTAAGATCATGCTACTACTAACATTACTGTGTATAGAGTTCATTCAGTTATACATTAAATAATGTCACTATAGAGAGATATTATAGATATTACAGGATTATTTACACAGTACATTAATACAAGGCTGCAGGTCACTAATGTGTAGATTTAGTCCCCAGAACATAAATATTTAAAGAGTGGAACCATTAATATGACATAAAATAGACTATAATGTCATAACTCAGTGTATTGATCACCACAGACACGAATATTATTACTGTATCAGTTACGTTATGTATCCATTACTCTGATTACTTTCTCTGTAATCAGTGAGGATAATGCAGAGCGGAGGGATTGTGAAGACATGAGCACATCCAACAGATGTCGATGGAGTCCTCTTTCAACGCCGTAGAGCTCCGGGAGCTTCGGGGCGGAGGAGGCCGGCGAGGCGTGTCTCCGACGCCGGGCTCTACTGTGGGCAGCGCCGGCCGAGGCTTCGAGAACGCCTCCTACCAGCAGGACGAGGAGCATGACCACCAACAGCAGGGGGCGACTGTGTCGGCGGGAGGTCCGCCCTCAACTTCAGGCAACAGCAAGGTTTGATGGTTACTACTTTTACTTGTTCGTCCTTTTGGTTAGTTGTTATCAAACTAACGTTAGTAGGTTGATTTGTTATACGTTAGTTTTTTTACTCGTTATGTAACAGTTGATTGTATCTTCAGAAGTATTTTTGTCATAAATAAATAAATAATGTCATTAATGTATTAATAAGATCCGGATACGGCGCTGTCGCTTCCAATTTTACCCATTGGTCACTTGGTATTGCGGCTTAAAAGTGTTTTCTCCTCAGACCACAATTATAAAAATCTGTAAATCTGTTGAGAGGACACCTCGAACTTTCCTCGAGCCAAAAAAAGCTTCATGATGAATTATCACTGAGATTATTATTGTTTTAATAACCACAGAAATGTCACATTTTCCACCTGAAGGAATTGTTGCAGGGCACATTGTTGTGAACATTTAGACATAAAAGGGATTTTAGTTTCTACTTTAAGCTTTGGTTCACCTCCATATGCACTAAAACACCCAAAACAATAATCATTATTTTTGCCATTTTTTTCACATGAAGAAAAACTGCAGCTATGAATCAGAGCTCTTCATGACTCTGCACTGTAAGCAGCCCAAAATCCTAAATACAAGCTTACCGCTGAATCCCAAGTTAAACATGACATGATGTGCAGGATAAACAGCAGAGGAGCAGATTATGGAGCTAATGTGCCCCCAAGCCCCTTTATCGATTGAAGTCTTTATTCCACCAAAGTGGTGATTTACAACCGAAAAGGGCCAAATAAAAGGTTACACAGGGATGTCATTGCATGTCAGAGGAGTCTGGTTACACAACGAGAGATTAACTCCTAAAAAAAGCCTCCTGGTATGATACATATCTTATCTTATATATAGGTCTCTTCGCCTCTGCCTTTACTATGTCCTTATAAAGCTGCTGAGTCTGATTACATTGCCCACAGTGGGCTCTCTGTCACCATCCTCCCTTAAACTTCCTCCTCCCTGGTGGTCTAAAGCTCCTGTGCGACCGGTGTAAACACCAACAGTACCCCGGTGCTCTGAGCATACTTTACTGTCCATCAGGAAGAGTTAAGGTGGTGCAGCTGGAGGACATTAGAGGGAAAACCAGGAAACATTTTCTCCACGAGCTTCAAGTTTCACCAAAATCAGTGATATAGTTGGTGGTGTGTGACTTTACTGCTGTAAAGCGTTACGCACTGACAGTTACAGAGGGTGGGAAGGACAGAGGGAACATTTACCCTATTTAAAGTCAGTTTAACACGACTTTGAAGTTGTTCTTTTAAGGTAAAGTTACATAATGTGACTCCAGTGACACTAGAGAGAAAATATTTTTCTTGTTTTTGTGCTTGGTTTCCTCTCTCGTCTTTATCTTTCTTCTCTGCTTTGTGGTTTTTCTTTCAGGGCGATCAGCAGCATCAGGAGCTTTCACCGCAGCCGTACGATGAGGAGGAAGGAGCTGAAGGGCAGGAGGACGGACAGGACTTCACCGAGTTCCACCCCGCCGACGACCACTCCGCGGACTACGGCTTCATCTTCGCCCTGGTGTTCCTGGTGAGTGGGATCGTCCTGGTGGTCATCGCTTACACCATCCCCCGAGAGGCCAAAGTCGACCCGGACTCCGTGTCTGCCCGGCAGATGGAGAAGCTGGAGATGTACTACGCCCAGCTGGGCTCCCACCTGGACAAGTGCATCATCGCGGGCCTGGGCCTGCTGACCCTGGGGGGGATGTTCCTGTCTGTGCTGCTCATGGTGTCCATCTGCCGGGGCGAGATGTACCGACGCAGGGCGGCGTTTGTCCGACCCAAGAGGACTTACGGCTCCATCAACCTGAGGATGAAGCAGCTGGCGACCGGAGAGGCGGGAGGAGGCGATGGCGGGGACGGAGGTGAGGAGTTTTTGGTGGAACATGCAGACACGCGGAATAACTTACAGCCAGATCCTAGCCGGGTCTCCAAATCAGAACCGGGGCCGAGCAGGCATCCTCCTCCTCCTGCTGCTCCTTCCTCGTCTTCTTCAGCTGCTGCACACGGAGTCGACTAGCCGCTCTTTGCGTTCGCTCTGCAGCTGTTTCGCCTTCCTCTGAGGGAGCACTCGGTTGCAAAATGGTGCGGGTCCCTCATTTGTGCTGACAGGAGAAGCACATCTTGAGCCAAAGGCTCTCTGCTGGAGCGACCCAGCTTCGACCCAGCACTTTGGGATTGAACGCGAACCAAGTTTATAAGGATATTTATTCTAACCAATCATAAAGGGATGTATTACTTAACAAAAGAGGGCTCGATCAGGTGGAAGAAGAGAGGTAAGCCTACGCCAGTGTGGAAAAGAGAGCACATTTGGAGATGAATGGTTGTAAATCAGAGATTACAGTTCCAATATAAATCCTAGTATGTTAATCAGAGACTGAGTTTTACAAGAAAAGGAAAGCACATTGTGTCCGACAGCCCTGGAGGTTGGTCGCCACTGCAGAAAGCAACACTTTATTTATGAAGTCCAGTGTTGACACTCGTCTATCAGGTGACCAGAAGATTTTCAACATTCAAACTTAGCCATATTTAAAACCCCAATTACAAGATTCACCTTAATAAAGATGTTAAATAACTGACAGCTGCTGTGAATATCACAGTCACTGGGTGGGAGTGTCTTACTGGACCGTCTAAATAAAGTATAACGGAAAGTGTGATGCTAGCTCTTGCACAAATAAAACAGAGGCAACATTTTTGAAAGTCGTGTTTCTGGTGTGACATTTACACAAAACTACCAGCATCGGCAATAAAAGGACAATAACAGTACAGGACATAAAATAATGTTAAAACTTGAAGCCCAGCTGTGTCACCTTCAGCAACCTGCAGGGAACAAATTTAAAGGCAGCAAAGGATGTTCAACTTAAACCTGCATTAAGCAATATTTTACAGTACATGAAACTCTTTAGCCCATTGTTTTAGTTCTCTGGATTCAACCTTTTTCTTGTAATACTGTGACTTTCTCCGTAATATTATGACTTTAATCTCTAAATATTATAAGATCTTTCTCAAAATATGATGTCTGTTTCTCGTAAAATGAATATTAATGTTTATATTTCAGTAGTTTTACTACCTTAAAGTGGCCCTAAAGGTGCTTTCAGAGAGCACGTCTAAGCAGTTACCAGCCAACAGCTTCAGAAGCCATTTGTATGCTAAAATGTTAGCAACCTTTTTCAATGACAAGAAGTAACCAGATGGTAATAATTTATGTGATACCGTCATGGAAGTACTTGCACATCAGAAACACAAACTAGAACCAGACCTGGAGCGTGACAGATAATAGTTTAAAATGTTTGTTGTGTCTTTGTGTTAAAAAAATAACATCAGCCGATAAACTGTCACAGATTTTTATGCCCTCAAATATCAATATTTGTATGCTATCAGTCGGTCTTACATCTCAAACCCCATCCGCTGTCGTTGGATGATGATTTCGCCTCTGGGGGCAACAGCCAATGTTTCAGGGCTTCCAGTGTAGCCAGCGGATATCTAGAAAACGAATAACTAAAAAGCTAAATAGCCTGTTTTTGCTCTCCACACAGTCTGTTTACATGCATGCAAACATTATTGGTCAATGCTCCTCGGACTACAAACAGAAACCAGAACGCTTCCAATGCCAAAACCTCGTTCCCTTACCTACAGATTCTACATTTATAAGGCTCTGGTTTGAAAAATAGTTGCTAAAGAGGCATTAAAGGTCCAAATCTAGCAAGAAAGTTGCTAAGATACGGAGGCGCCGTGTTTTTGGAGCCCCCTTGTGGTCAAATATTGCTTAATGCAGCTTTAACATTTGACATTTATTCAATATACCTGATCACTGCAACAGCTTTAATTCGCTGAAAAGGACAAAGGTGTTAGACTGAGAGGCGTAGAAGTGATATGACTCACTGTTAACACACATTACCCACAAAGCTTCGCATCAGCAGTCCGAGAGCTCTTCTACACTCTTCATGCTGTTAGTCAGTAATCAGTTTTATCCTCCACTTGAAGTTGTTTTTTCTGGGATGAGAATGATTTTTGTCACCGCGTCCTGGTTGCAAATCAATTCTGTTTCCATCAAAGTGGAAACAAGTTGAAATTGGACCGTTTTCAATCACGAAGGACGTCTCAACTCGCCTGAATCGATTCCTGAGCAGCTATATTCTGTCATTTAGTTGGAATAGCGTCTGTGTTTGAAGAATATGTGTACTTTTACAAGTGACAAGAAAATCTGTGAAGTGAAGACGTGAGATTCTCACCCGACAGAGTTGTTTAACACTTCCACTGCTGGTGGCTGAAGGCCATAAATGACACTTTCTACATGTACGTGTTGCTTTCAGTGAACACACATATCCAATGTCTCGTGCTGCATCGCTCAAAACTGTTGCCTCGTGTTTCCTAATCAGCATTTTCTGCTAGCATCACTTTCCACAGCAATCGCAGAGTGGATCTTTGCATCAGGCTGCACGTGAATATCCAACATCAGCAGCTCCTTTAAAGACGTATAAATGATATTTACCTGACATTTAAACGTCCCCGAGTGTTTAGTGGGCAGTAAAACCGCGCTACATGCTGCAAGAAGAGAAAACCTCACACTGCAGCTACTTTCTGGTTTCATTTAATTAAAAGTTAAAAAGAAAAGAATAATAATCTAAATATTGAATTGGAAAACAAACAAACATCAAGGTGTCTTTTTTTTCTATCCGACTGCAGCTCTTATTCTGGAGAACCTCTAACGACACAGCGCCTACTTATTTGTATTATATGTAAACACATGTTATTTATGTCATGTAAGGATACAATATGCCTTAATGAGTGAACACAGACACTGTAAATTGTGTATACGCAAATATTATTATGCTAATGTATTAAGGTCTGTATAGTGAGGCAATTAGCCAAGGGTAATGTAGCTACACACACACACGCACACACACACACACACACAAACACACACACACATAATGTCCTCATAAGTCAGTGTGTGGCTCTGTAACATCAAGAGTCTAATTATTATCCACACACACTCTAATCTCAAGCTGTTTATTGTTAAAATATGTTTATTTCGCAGTACAAATATACTGTAAATACTACATGTAGACGTGTCGGATGTAGAGGACCAGCAGAAGCTAACGCTCAGTAACCAAATACGCAACGCAGGTATGCAAAATTGGGAAAACCTCGTCACAGTCGGACCAATTCCTTTCTTTGTGTTAGCAGCTTTGTGACCTCCGCAGTTCGATCAAAACAAACAGAACAAAACTGAGCAGACGAACAGCAGCTCCTGCTTCAATATTCAGCATTCAAATTCATTAAATAACAACAGGATTTAATGGTTATTAGATATTACGGCTGATATTGATTAATCTGGGGCTGCAACTGGTGATTTGTATCATTGCAGATTTATTGTTTGGTCCATAAAATGTCAGAAAATAGGGAAAATGTCCCCAAAGCTTAAGTCGATATAATTACATTGCTTGTTTAAAATCAAAGAACATGAGCAAATATCCCCATTTTAGTTGCTGGAACCAGTGAATTTTGGGCTTTTTTGCCCCAAAAAATCACATAAATAAATCCTTATTTATCTAAATAGTCTCAGATTAGTTTTCTGTTGATCAGCTCAATAATAAATCAACTAATTTATGCAGCTCCAGTAAATAAACAATAGATAAAACTATAAAATAAGTGACTACTGATGATTAAAAAAGAGAGAATACTACACGAAACTATCCGTTAGACATATTGAATAATATAATATAATCCATATTGATGAGTACTGTTCTATAATCTCTGGTGCAGCAGGTTAACTTTGTGATTTTAAAGACTGTTCTGTTAATGAACGGTCACAGGTTCAATCCCTGACACAGTTTTTCTGCTGAGGTGTCCCTTGAGTAAAGTTTGGACGTTTCCAGCTGCAGGCAGGAAGTTTGGAGAACGTGGAGCTACTTAAGTGTCCTAAACTGTCTTCATGATAGATAGGTAGAGGTAGGTACCAGAGCTTTCTTGAAAATCACTATTTATATCATTAACTGTGTATTTTCTCCTCCTGTGATGGTGCCTCCATCCATCATTTGCTTCAATTTGCAGCTCACCAGTAAACAACCAAAGGGAAAGCGTACAAAGGTCAAACTCTTTCCGTGGTTTCAGTGTGATTGAGAGTTTTATTGGGGAAAAAGAAAGAGAAATAAGAAGTGAGAGTGGAGGGGAGAGAGGGGAGGGGAGAGGGGGAGGTTTTCTGTGTGAGTGAAGGAGATAAAAAGATGTGGGAGAGCCGATAGGATGCAGCGGAGACGCTGGATTACGTGAGGTGATTCTTGAAGAGAGGGATTTGGGGGAGGGGGAGTCGGGGAGTGACTCTGCAGGAAGCTAAATACTTTCAATGATACATTCAGGTTTCTCAGAACAAGAAAGACAAGAATAAACAGCTCAGCTTAAGGTTTTAATAAACATGAACAAGCTGATTCTTGTGGAGACACGCAGAGATTAGAAGCTGCAGGTCCGCATTAGTGGGGGAAAACAACACAGCAGCAGAAACACAACCTGATAGAGGGAATGATTGCTGCTGATGGTTCGCTTCACACAGGCTGGACGCAGAGAGCTGGAAGGGAAGAGGTTCGAAAGGGTTTTAAAGTGAGTTTAGTTACACGGATGGATGGATGGATTGAATCAGGTCAGGAGGAAGCAGACTGAAAGATTGTAGATTGCTTTTGTGGAAAAACTCTTAAAGGGGCCGATAGAGAACTTGTTTAAAGCCTTTAGTGTCTCCAGACGGAGTCGTGGGAAGTCTGACGATGAGAAGTTAGAAAGGAGTGGGAAGATTTTGGATGGGTCAACAAGTGAATCTACTCCTCTGCTCTTTTCTGATCACATGTACAGATGATCTTTATAATAAGCTCATGAATTATGTATCCGTGGATAAGCAGCGTGTTGCAAGTTAAAAGGATCTTATGATGATCTGCAGGTAGGAGCTGTCTCCTGCTGTGCCCCCCCTCCCCCCTGTGTGACACATACAGCTGTATTATGCAGCTTAAACAGGTTTAAACTCAAATTAAAATACAAATTGGAGTGATTCTGGTGGAGCGACTGAGAGCGGATGTATGTTCGGAACAGATGGAATACAACAGATGATATTAATAGTTCGGTTATTTTGTCGGTTATGAGTCTGTGTTATAGTCAGTGCAATATTAAATGTGTGGAGAGCTCTTTTAAGAATATATGGTATATATATATCTATCTATTGTATGTATTTTAAAATATATCATACAAGAAGCAGATTAGACACAATGTCTGAGTCTGTTAAACACTGATTGTTCATGTAGATGTAAGTTATACTTTCAATTGTTATTATTTAGTTTATTATGGAACACATTTCAAACACAAAGGCAGCTCATATACTTTATATTAGAAAGAAAGAAACACATTAAACCAACATTTTTACTGTATAATCACAGTGATTTATACGAGTTAGCAACATGCTAGAAAGACGTTTTCACCCTAACGAGTCTAGAAAGTGAAATTAAAGAGTTTGTTCACACAAAATGCATAAAAAAAACCTTTTGAATGAATCCATGAATGGATTTTAACTAGAGATCAGAATGGGAGAAAAGGGGCGGCAGAGGAAGGACATGTGAGTGCAGAGCATCTGAAAAGAGCAAAACTATGTTTCTGTTCCTCGGTGACGTGTTTGAATGTCAAGACCGAACATGAGCACCTTGGCCAAAGACAAAGAAAATCAATCTTTATTCTGTCGGCAGCACAATGACTCTGTTACCATAGAAATAGTCTATTTATATCAAGGACCATTGCTGGAGCAGTTCTCATGTGTCATGGAAAGTCCTTGTGAGGACACGAGAGAGGAGACAGTGTTATAAACCCTTAAAACCTCTGATTGTGTCCCTGATGAGGGGAAACATAAACCTGAGGAGACACTGGAGGAATAAATCACACATTTTTTAAAAGTGCAAATCATCTGTTGGTAGACGAGCGAAAAGCTTTAATTCAGAACTCGCTGCAGGAGATCAGGAGGACGAAGCAGACAGAATAAAACACAAGTTTATTTTTTTACATACTTGTTGATTCATCTGGACTTTAAATCCCAAAGTTATCTGATTATTAGCATGTAAATAAGTTAATGTGAGCGATTATATATCTGCAACAGTCAAATATCTGCAAGTATCAGCCCTCCAGGAATATAAGAACCACATTGATGGACGTTCTACGGTTGAATAATGTCACAGTATATATATTTATAGTGTAATTCTTATTATTCTTTAATAATCAAGAAGTAAATGTTGGGGGATGTAAACAGGAAAATATAATGTTGCCATGGATTCGGTGACTAAAGCCGAGCTCAGCCTACGTAAATTCTGGGTCAGATTACTTCAGATTCACCCTCCAGACAATCGGAGGAGGAATTGATCCTTTATCGGTACTGAAGTTCGGCCCTGATTATCTAGTTTACAGATCCAGTCTTAAACCTCCAGACTTGCACATAGACTCATCGATAATTTACAAGCATTTTTAATGTCTAGGAGTTAAAATCTGGAGGATAACGTCAGTATGGGAGTAAATGAGAGGTGTTGCCAAGCAGCTGTAAATGTCAGCGAGCAAACTGCTGCTGACAGATATTAAAATCTCACCTCCAGTTCTTGCTGATCAATAAACAACCGGCCTTCTGCTTTTGATTTTTCTCAATGGGAAGCATTAATGTTACTACAGCAGGTTGTTCAGCTTCCCCATGAGACCCTCCCTCTAACACCTTTCTTTATTTTAAAATCTTACAGTGTGTGCATGAACTGAACCAACCAGTTAGCTGTTAACTGTTGCTGTTTGCTGTGTACACATGTATGAACAGACAGCTGTCACTGAAATACTGTAGAAAACTTAAAAATGATGATTCTCAGGCAACTTCTGCTGTTGTAAGATCTCTCTTCTCTGATTTCTAAGCTGATTAATGGACGTTTATTTGCAGTGGACATAAGAGAAAATGATATCTTCGGAAAGTGTAACTCACACCGGATCTAAAAATATGCGTATCCTGACAATGTGTTCAGTTCTGACTCAGATTTTTGATGCAGATTGCAGCAGTCAGACACAAGGGGGCTTTTAAAGTAACTGCCTCCATGAGCTGCTGACGCTGCGTTCGCCTCACGCAGCATCTTTGCTTCACGAATGCAGGACACGCAGGCTGCACATGAACCCGTGGATAGAAGCAACAGACAGTCTATGTATTCTGTTTTTCCTCTCGCAGTCTTACCAATAATGAGTTACCTCTACGTACCCGTTACACTCTTCTCCAACAGCGAGTGGGGTCGGAAAGGTCAAAGGTTTGCAGCACAGTAGTGTTCCTGCAGCTGCTTGAGATTCAGTACCTCATTCAAGGACACTTCAGCAGTGTGCAGGGTTCTGACCCTGAGCTCAGTCTCATTAATCACTACACATCACGCTGCCTCGGAAAATAACAAGAGAAGGTTGCCGGCGCTGTGAAAAAACAAGCTCCTGGTATATAACCTCAGCTGTTTACACCTAAAAGCCTCCAGTTTTGTTCAGCTTAAACAGTCCGCCCCACTGAAAACACCCAGACTGAATGGTCCTTCCTCTGCACAGGCTTGGAGCTGGATGCTTCCCTTTATGTACAGATATATAATATGCACAAATGTAACACACACAGCAGTAGCATTTTACTCAGAGACTCAATGAATGTACAAATTAATGCTGTAACGCTGGAGGGTCGGCGCCATCGCGGCAGTGTCACGCAATATATCACAAATATCTGTCGGTCACATGGTTTCACATGTGAGACACTTTGGTGTAAACGGTCACATGATTTCAGTGCAGTCGCCTTGGAAACACTACTGTATAAACATTCCTGCTCTTTCTTTTATTCTGTTTTAAAACGTGCAGAGTTAATAGATGTATATTTAATGAGATAAAGCGATATTTCACTCAGGTGGAACATTTATTTTGGGATGCGTCCAAACGTTAATGAACAGCTACGATTGAGGAATCTGTCATCATGGTCGCCATCGGGCTTTTTAATTTTAACTTAAAAGTAATCTGAGACCTTTATTGACCTCTAATGGTTACTAGCAGTAGTTGCAACAACACTTACACAACATTTTCTTCCTACAAAATGTCTCCTCCAACCCAATTCTCTCATTACATCCAGTCAAATCCATAAATTACAACCAAATTAGGGTTGAATGATTTCCCACCATTTTAAAATGATTACATCTTTTATTGCAATCAATTTAACCTGATTTTAAAAGACACAAAACTATGAATACGTAGCTTTACACCAGCTATTACACAATATTTAACCACACAACTGGACTGCAAGCTGCCATAAACAGTAAATGTGATGCTTCCTGTAGTTACAACGGTGAATGTCAATAATACAAAGCCTTCAGTCTCTTTTCAAAAAGTGAATATGGAGAGGTTTTACAATAAATGTGCTGTTTGAGGTCACATTGAAGTCTTCCGTGTGTTTGTAGTACTGTAACATTTGTAGCCTTCAGAATAAAAGCAGGAACGAGACAATGACAGATGCCTCAGGGCTGCTGACTCTTCATGAATTTAAATGTAAAATGTAAAAAAACAAAAACAAATGAAATGATTCTACCCGGGTGAAATATCGCTCTGAGTAAACCCAGATTGAAACAATGAATATTAAAGTGTATGAACTGTAAGAAAAAAATCTATCACGTGGCCTGAAGAAGGAAGTTGTGTCTGTTTGTGAATCAGAGATGTGAATCTTTTGCAATCAATATATGACAATGAAAGTAACATTTAGCACAGAAAATAAACGGACATTAAAGAGACATTAAAGGGATATATCACTTGTATTTTAAAGTGGTTTAGTTGGACTATCAGCTGGTGGAAATGTTTACTACAAAACTACATTTTGATCTAATGACTGTTGTGATATCACTTGAGAAAAGTGAAATATCCCTTTAATCTGTGAGAGAAAACCAGGGTCTTTAAACTGTTATAAAGCAGGCAGGGTCTTATTGGCTCTTTTCAATATAAAACCAGAGATTTTAAAAATTTTGTTAATGTTTTATTTTCAGTTTATTTGCTTTTTCTCTTCAGATTTGTCTCTTGAAATTCGGGGAAAAAGGTACGTTAAGAGTCGTCCACTTGTTAAAGAGAAATTAAAGGGTTTTTTTTGGTGAATTTTTGTAAAATCATGAGCCTTAAATATTGTTTAGTTCAGAAGTCCTTTCTGTGATCACCTTCCAAACTGGATGTATGAAACTTTACGCAGCAGCACAAGAACAGGAAATCCTAAAGCATGTTAAAGCTTACAAACTCTTATAAAAATGGGAATTAATGTCGTTTTGAGGATGACTTTTATAAAGATTACAGGATCAAAGAGCAACTATTGTGTTAATTCCTGTATTTGTCCCGATGATGAAGATTGTGTTGCGTTTATGGTGTATGTTAATGAAGAGCACAGTTACTTGTGTACAGTGTGTAACTGCAGTAGGTTAATCACAAGTGTTTATTTGTGACGATTATTCACTATTCATTATGATTTTTTTCATCATTTTATACAATTAATCCCACTCCTCTTAAAACATTCCTCTTATAAATCTAATTTGAAACCAACTGAGGATGAATGTCGGGAGTTTTAAATGTTCTATAACTGAATAAAATATATGCTCGTTTCTAGGAATCCAGTGAATACATATATGTGATCTTTCTTTATGTCATCATTCGGGCCCATCTCCTATCTTTGGTCCCCACTCGTAGTTTAAAAAAAAAAAACCTGCTGCTTTGTGTGCTTCAGGAGGCGAAGTGAATCTGCATGTTATTAGTGTGTGACGCTGTAAAAGGTCCGATGCCTTTGTTCCTGTACATACTGAGGATGCTGTATACTGTATGTAACGACGATGCTGATTTTTAAGTAGGATTTTGTTAACGTGACCAATAAACTTTCTGTTTTTGCTGTTTGTTTTTAATCCAGTGTGCCGGCGTGTCTGACTGCTCTCTGGTTGGGTCTCTTCTTAAACTTCAGATGAACCTTATTTGCATTGAACATCTTGATCTGCAGCGGAGGTCAGGCGGCAGGGCGGCTCGCTGGTGGGTGTAAACCAGAATCAGAGAGAGAGAAGTGTTTCTGGGCAAGACGCTGTCAAAACCTCTACCTGACTGTTTGCATTTGACTGCGTGTCTTTATTGATTCAGGCGTCTCAGTCGGGGCACAAAAGACAAACCCAGTGTCTGTGAGTTCTGTGCATTTACTCACAGCAGCTCTTTGAATTAAATGCTAATGTGAAGATGCTGATGTTCAGCAGGTATAATGTCAATCTCAGAACCCATCAGATGGCTCACAGCCAATGTTTCAGGGCTTCCAGATGTCATAAACCAGCTGTAAGTTCAGACCAAACAAGGGAGACCACACAGATAATTAAATGTATTTATTTAAGCAATATTAAACTATACAAGTATAACAATAGTAAAAAAAAAAAAAAAAAACCAAAACACAAACAAACCACGAACCTGCTGGCTAAGAGGAGAGAGACATAACTAATATAACTCTCTGTATATATCCGAGCAATCAGGGAGAAAGTTAATCCAGGTGTAGCTCATCCTTCAGCCACTCTGTCTCCTGCACAGAAAGAGGGGAAACACACAGAACAACCAGAGTGGGAGGACTCATCACACAGGACAGCCAGTGGATAAACAGATTCCTCTGCAGTAAGAATCATGAGAAAGACTCATTTTGGCTAATCAACAAAAAAAATAAACAACAAACGGAAAGCAGAACCAAAATCTTGGTCCCTCACCAACAGATTATTCATTTATACGCAGATATCTGTTTAGATTATTAAAATGTTTAGTTTTTAAACACAAAGCACAGCTGACGTTGAATAACTTTCAGATGAAAGGTCTGAGGATGTTTTTATGATTCATCCCGAGAGGAACATTAATACACTTCAATCTGAGATGTTTGACTCAAAGTTACAAAGGTCTGCCTCGTAGTGGAGCTGCAGGAGAAGTCTAAAGTCATTAGGATTCATCCTCTGGGGAACATTGTTCAAACTTTAATGGTAATCCATCAAATAGTTGTTGAGATATTTCAGTCTGGAACAAAAACCAACAGGCTGACATAAAGCCTCATTATAATATAATAATGATAATATATTATATTACTATCCTTCCTTCTGAGGCTTCGGCTGTCAGCGTTCGTGTGACTTTAAAACGGAGGTGACCGCAGTCCCACACTGAGGAGTGGAGGTTGAGTGATGTTACTGTACACACACACACTTCCTGTAATTGACCCCAAACAACTCGTCTCTCCAGTGTCTCCATGTCACCGCTTCAGAGTGTCTCAAGTGGTGGCCGCCTCTCCACAGAGCTGGCAAAGAGATTTATTATCTGAGACCTGCTGCAACCTTGGTCTGTGTGTGTCTCTGTGTGTGTGTGTGTGTGTCTCTCTCTGTGTGTGTGTGTGTGTGTGTGTGTGTGTGTGTGTGTGTAACGACCTCCAGCCTCCGTGTGTTACACTGTTTTCACTGCTGTTAGTTTCTCTTCACTGTGTTTTTAAGTCTGTTTGTGGAGTTAATCCATAAAAAAAAACATTAACGTGTGTTTGAGGATAACAATAATCCAGCTGGGCCTCACACACACACACACACACACACACACACACACACACACACACACACACACACACACACACACACACAGCTGGAGGATAATACAGGTAGCCTTCTACCCATCTGTCAAATCCATCTGTCAGTTCTTCTTTTATTACCTTTTTCTGTCTACTTGTTTTGGTTTTCCTCCTGTTTTCTCTGTTTCACCTCCTTTCTTTATTCTTTATTATTTCTTTATTCTTTCTTTATTCTTTCTTTATTTTTTCTTTATTCTTTATTCTTTCTTTATTCTTTATTCTTTCTTTCTTCTCTGTCTTTGTTAAGTGTTTAATTAATCCTCTGTAGCTGAAGGCTCTCTGCACTCATACAACGACCCATAAACAGCAACGTGGTTTAACTTTAATAGCACGTTAGGATAAAAACATCAAACTTTTATGACATTTTACAGAACTGTGTAGACAGTTTAAGTCGAGGATTCAGGTTGCCATGGATACCATTCATCACTGCAACCTAGCAACCACCTAGCAACACGATAGCATCAGCACGGAGTCGTACACCAGCGGCATCGGGAAGGAAACTTTAATTATACGAATAAATTCAGACAATTAAAACGAAAATAAGATGAAATAATGTAATAATTTATAATAATATAAGATAAAACAACAACAACAATAATAAATAATAACGGACCTTTAATACAATGCAGTCGTAGCTCCGTTCAGGCTACAAGAGCAGAAAACTTAACAGTATTTATATTTTATATAAATAGAACAAAGTATTTATAAGTTGACTTACATACAGAAAGGTTTGACTTACTAAACAACATTAAGGCCCATAATGCAACATGATTTATAGGAGCCAGTGTGACTCTCTCTCTCTCTCTGGTAATTATAAAATATTCAGATTGTTTTTTAAGATGTCAGTTCTCACTCTTTCCCCACTTTTCTCTTATTCAGCTACTTTCTGTAAAGCCTTTTTCTCTCATTATTGTCGCCGTCAGTCCTTCGGTAGATTTGGAATTGCCTCCGTGTCGTTCTTTGTCTCTTTTTGTCTCCCTCCCTCTGAGTCCTGTCATTAGTTTTTGTATTAATTATTTCTCTCTCTCTCTCTCTCTCTCTCTCTCTCTTTAATGAGTGCGAGTGGCGCCGTGTCACAGACATCCTCAGTCAGGGTGACTCACAACTGTCTCAGAATAATGTTTCCCACAAGACAAAATGAGACGCTCTCTTCTGTCTCCACCCACAGAGACTCTCAGCCTACAGACACTTCAGCATGCCTCTGCCAGATCCTCTAATTAAACAAGACACAAGTCAGGTGAATCTCACTGAGCTGTGAATTGTGAATTATTATATTTATTTACATCCCCGTCGCCCGCCACTCCCCTCTCATTTACCTCCCAGAGTAGTGAGATTGTTTATGTAAGTCGTATAAATTTAAATTGTCTTGTGTTTTACAACGTCCCGGAGCATAAACGGATGTTAATGAACACAGAAAACAGCTCAGTTCAGTGGCTGAGTCTGAATAAAGAGACAGAGGAAGCTGTGAGCTGACTCCCTAAAGAGATGAACCAGACAGAATCAGGAGTCAGGAACAGTTCACGGAAATTTATATTTCCATCAGCAAAAATATCACATCGTCTGAATTCTTAATGATAAAACTGAGGAAGGAAGAGATCAGATGTGTTCTCACTGATTGCTCCAACGTGGTCACAGTGGTATACAGTTAACATGGTCAGCAGGTGAAATGTTTGTTTCACATCCTGTTAAACAGTAATACAGAACACTAACTGTGGTGATCCTGTGTTTCATCTGGTTTCATCTGGTCTGTATTTTGGTTTATGACCTCAAAAACAATCATTCCCGTCAGCAGAGGCGGGATTTGGTGTTTAGTGCTACTTAACAAATGGTAAATATCATACCTGTCAGCATTATCATTGAATAAGCCTGTCACATTAATTACATTATCAGCTCAATGCAAGGTACCGACAGTGCTCACGGGTGTTTACATGGGTGTTTGTTAAGACTGGTTAGCACTCCACCAAGGCACTGTCTCAGATGTGGAGTTGGCCCACTGCTATTAATACTTAAGATGGGTCAAATGCAGAGAATAGATTTCCCTACAGGGATCAATAAATGTCTGTGTCATAATGTCTGAGCTGAATCAAGATGTCTAGATATTCTTAAGAACTAACAGTTTAATGCTCTTTGAAGGGTTGTACTACGCTTATCATTACATCAGTGGCATTAACTGGTCTTAAAACATCTGTCAGACTCTTAGTATGGTTCAAAGGGGAAACATAGAGTTGATTTATATTTCTATACCACGATGATCGCCTGGATCTGACAGTTTAACTAGCTTGTTATAACTCTGCTGCCTCTCTGTTTTCAGACTCTGGTGAAACATTTCTACCTCCCGCTGTGTGCTATTTTTCCCTGCTCTGAGCGGGAGCACCGCTGTGACCAGAGCATCAACTACCTGTGGCGTCTGCTACTATATTTACCTCTCAGCACTCCTGGGACGGATAAAGAGAATTAGAAAATGGCTGTTTGTCACCTGCCTGCAGGGAAAATAACAGCTTGAGAAGAGACTTAGAAACTAGAAAGAAAGAGACTGATTGGTAAATTAGAGACAGAAAAATAGCACTGAGGAGGATCTATTAGCAGATATTGAAGAAAATATTTATATGTATGTTTTTATCAGTGTATAATCCCCTGAATATAAGAATAATTAGGTTTTTGTTACCTTAGAATGAGCTGATTTTATCTACAGACACCATGTTTAACCACCATGTTTCTACAGTAGCCCAGAAAGGACAAACCAAACTCTAGATGTATATTTCCTGCCCGTCGTAGTTTCTCCTTTGCCTTTCGAAGGGTCTTCGGCCTGCAACTACGCCGCTAGATGCCACCAAATCCTACAAACTGGACCAGATGGTTTAAAAAGGGAAGTAACACTATTCCTCTCTGAGAAGAAAAGACACATTTAGAGAATTAGGGTCAAGGTCAGGGAGAGAGAGAAAGGCAGAGATCAGAAGAAAAATCAGAGAACACGAGGGAAAGAACAAAAAGTGACATGAATTTAGAAGAAGAGGAGAAAGTGAATGAAGTCAGGGAAGATCACAGAAGCATGAATAACATCAGAGAACAGAGAGGAAGATGGTGAGAAGAGAGAGAGATAAGAGGAAGTAACTGGCTTTAGCTCCTCCGTCCTCACCCATATGTACAGTATATATAATACTGTATATGTGTGTATATTATATATATATATATATATATATATATAATACTGTATATGTGTGTATATATATATATATATATATATATATAATATTGTATATGTGTAATATATATATATATATATATATATAATATTGTATATGGTGTATATATATATATATATAATACTGTATATGTGTGTATATATATATATATATTATAAACAGCCTCGACAGAGAAACAAACAAACAAACAACACTCAACAGCAAACACACCGACCAAAGAGCAAAGTCTGAGATTTTTATTAGAGATTTTTGGCATGAAATATTTCATCAACCGAGTTGTTTATTTAACAACAATCCAAACAAAAACAACTGTAAAGAACAACATTTCAGGCTTTTATTATTTATGTTTCCACAAGATTTCTTTTTTTTTTGTTTTTCTAAATAAATTATAACTACAAGATGCAGTTTAATGCGACGATAAGAACCTCGACTGACTGCTCTTCCTTCTATCGTACAGGAAGCGGAGGAAGTGTTAACGCTCCCTTCCAGGCTGTCCAGATGTTACACAATATGTTTGTGTCAAAACAATAAAAGCTTACAAATGTATGAACAGGTTTTCCGATGCTGGTAAATGAGTCGACACACGCGTTTATGATGAACACCAGTCAGTATATTCCAGAGTGTGTCTCCATCTGTCTGACAGTTTGTTTAACTTGCAGTCCAAAATAAACAAGCTTCTCCTTTAACGTTGGTTTGACATCGAAAGCCATCTTTTTACTTCAGAACTGAAAGACCGACTTCAGCGTCACAGCTCACATGATTCTGCTGACGTGTAATCTAACACCGAGAGTCGGGCACTTCTACGTTAAAGTTATATGTCGTTATATGAAATGAACAATTAGAAAAACAAACCCCTCTTTCTCAAAAAACTGGAGGAAATAAAAAAAGGCAAACACTTTATTTTTCAGGGGGGGCCGCTAAACCAGATGAAACCCCGACGGCCCCCGTTTACGGAGGTGAAGATGAGAACTTTCCCCCCCTGGCTCCCATTGGCTAGCAAACAGGAAGTAGAAAAGCAGGAAGGACTGTTGGGTACTACATGAACATGTCATCATAGCCAGGTGGAGGCATGTGGTCTGGATCCGGCCTATAAAAACACAGACACACAAACAACGTCGTCATATATCTGTTAGCGTACGTCTCTCACAAACACCAGCGCAGATCTTTTCCTTCTCTTCCAGGATTATTCTCTTCTTCTAGTATTATCTTTACTGAATTGGATGTTTTCATAACAAAGTCAAACATACAAACTTAAAGAAAAGGGTTACAAAAGAGCACAGATGTCCCGGCTGGCAGAGATCAACGGACAAAACATTTGGCTCATCTTAAAATGCCGTTGAGTAACCGGATGACGGCCACATTAAACTCACTTAGAACAATACTGTAGCTCAGTGAGATAAACAAACAGGTTGTATCACAAACATGTGGTCAAGCAGGAGAGTGGGAGAACATCTGGGAACATATTTCATACTGAAATGACCGTAACTCTGAAAGAAACCCACAAAATGTGTCTGACTGCTGAAGCGTCGTATTGGCATCAAGTGGCACCTATCCTTTAACACAGCCGTTCTCAACCCTTCGTGATTTTAAGGCGTGTAAGAAAACATTTAGTTCACTCCTGTGAAGAAGGTAAATGTAAAGATAAATGTCTAATAGAACGACGGCCAATCAGCGGGGACAAGAAAACACTGAAATTGTCCAAAAAGAAGCTTATTAAGTTTGTATGACTGTATAAAGTATAAAAAGGTACATAATACAGACAGAGAATTGTATAAAGTTCCCTAATAATCTGCTTAAAATTCATCCAAATCTCTCGTTTTACACAAACTTCCTGAGTTCACTGTTTGTGTTCATTGTTTTAATATAATAAGAAATATCCATAAAATATATATCACTTAGTCAGTTTACTTAATGATAGAAAAGAGGTCCCTTGAGGAAAAAGGTTGGGAACCGGTGCTTTAAGAGGACGGACAAAGAGGTGTGTGTGTGTGTGTGTGTGTGTGTGTGTGTGTGTCTCTCACCCCGGTCTGCGTCGTCCGACCGGTCCAAACGGGTCGAAGCGAGCCCCCGGGGGAACGGCTCCGGGAGGCAGAATGTCTGGTATGCCGCTAGACGGGTCAAAACCAGAGCGAGGATACCCCGACCTCAACGGGTCGACGATCATCCCACCGCCGCCGCGAGACCTGAGGGCGGCGAGACAGAGAGGAGGATGAGAAAGTGTATTTAAGCTTTTCCTTCATTCACTTTTAGTTGAATGGATGTTTCATTATCGGGAGGACGCTCTTATTTTGAAGGTTTGATATTTTATTTGATGGAGGAAGACAAAAATATGTAAAAGTTAATAAACAAGTTGTACGTTATATGATTATAATGGATGATTATATATGATTAAATGAGTAGTTTGTTAATTGACTAATATAGGAAGCTTCCAGTTAAATGTACTTATTGTGAGAAGGTGAAGGAGTGAGTTAATTGTGTGCAAACAATCCATTTAAAAAGTCTTTGATGGGGAAATCCTGTTAGGGGGAATAAAAAAAAAGCCCAAATAAAATGAATGTTGGGACTAAACTAAGACGGGATTGCGTCCTGAAGCTCTGATATTTGAGCTCCACATCGAGGTGGCAGAGGGGGTCTGGACACGCACCGGTAATCCTCTGCTGTCTGGCTGACTGTTCATCCCCAAAATCCCAGATTAGAACAAAAGCACGCACTCCGGCTTAAATCTATGTCTGAAAATGACTTCCATAAATATATATATATATATATTAATAATTTGTAGGATTTGTTATGAGGGAGAGACACAGACTCACCCAAAGGGATCCAGATCTGCTCCTCCAGCTGCGAACGGAGGAAGCATCGGGTCGGGCCTGCAACACACACACACACACACACACACACACACACACACACACACACACACACACACACACACACACACACACACACACACACACACACACACACACACACACACACACACACACACACACACACACACACACACACACACACACACACACACACACACACACACACACACACACACACACAGATGTGTAAACTTTAAAGTAAACAAACCCACTAACTCATAATCATATGAAATATGAATGTCTGCTGCTTTTCTATATCACTGTAAACTGAACATCTCTGGGTTTGGACTGTTGGTCGGACAAAATAAATCAATTTAAAGACCCTGAAGAGTCTCTAGGAAGATTTTGATGACATTTCCTCTCCCAATAAGACGATAAACAGAAACTCTGTGGACACTCGAGAGGAATCAGAACTGTGCTACAGATTGAGAATCCTGAGAACAATATTCAAGCGGCAGGGACATAAAACGACTGATGATCTGTTGCAGGTGAAGAAGCTGATGAACGAGGAGGTTTGAACTTGGTACTAATGGATGTTAAAGAGCCGGATGTTGAAAGAGGAAGATTTAAGGCTTATCAATTCCCTCACTGATTCCTGTCTGGAAAGAACTAACTGTTTAACTGATTCATCGAAAGACCGGAAATGAATTTTATTGTGATAATGGATTAATTGGTAAAGTCAAAAATACTTAAAGACCCTGGACTGTCTCTACCGCCTCGTTTCATTGATTTCAAGGGGAAGCCTGACTCCGATCAGTGGCAGGAATTAAGAATAAATATATAGAAATATCCGGTCTTCTTCTCACTGATGGTCTTTGGTTTGTTTATGTGGGTCATACAGAGGCATCAGTGTTACATTTAATAACCAGTTAATCTGCTTTTATTTGTCCTACGTGATAATAACCTGACATTTTATTGACTTAAATGATTAATTGAAAAAAGATGTCCTGTTAACTCTCCTGTCATCTACAGTATCTTAAACTCTCTGCTGAAATTCCTTATAAAATGTAGTTACTACCCAACCTAACTAATGTTGGCAGAGCTGATTTCAGGTACTGTGCACATTTTAAACAGAAATAACTCCAAACTGCCCTCAAAAGCTTCATTATCGGATGCTTTCTGGGATTGTTGCAGCTGTTTTTATTCATTAATTCTTCATTTATTGTGTTGTTTCTATTTTGTGAATGTTTCGTCTTCTTCGTCTCCTCCTCGGGTCTGTCCTGGAAAAGAGATTTTAATCTCAATCAGACTGCCTGATTAAGGATTAATTAAATGATCCCTCTCATAAACCCAATTATCCCATTAGTAATTATAATTATCCACAGTGAATCACTCAGACAGGCTTCAGTCTGCTTTCTGCTGGTGAAACACTGAATAATCCACCCGACCTTCAGCTGTTCGTCTCTCCATCTTTTCTACGCTGTCCATTTCTTTCCAACCTCTTTCTCCCCCCCCCTCACCTGTTTCCAACACTTTCTGCAGGCCTGACTCAGTTTTTGCTTTCTCATTCATCACTCCTCGTCTGCCTGTATCTTTCACTCCTCTCCCCACTCTGTCTCTTATCTGTTTCACTTATTTTCTCTCCTTCTACGTCTTTTCTCTCTCAGATTTTAGTTCACTTTCTCTCCATCTGTCTTTGTTTTGATCTCATCCTTATCTACCTCCCTCCATCTCTCTCTCTCTCTCCACCCCCCCTCCCCCACTCTCTCTGGGGACGAGGAGGCGACAGCAGCGAGGTCGATAAAGTGCTGACATCACCTCGCATCTCATCTGATCGGGTCACAGCTAAGAGGAGGACGAGAGGGAGTGAGGGGGGAGTGAACAGCAGAGTGACTGAATCTGTCCTGCAGCTCTCACACACACACACACACACACACACACACACACACACACACACACACACACACACACACACACACACACACACACACACACACACACACAGTGAATCTGCCCTCATTCACTCTCTGCTGTTGTAGTCCACCAAAAGCTCTCCTCTGTCTAGACTTTTTACAAGGCACAGAGTCAGCACATCCAAGCTGTGTGTGTGTGTGTGTGTGTGTGTGTGTGTGTGTGTGTGTGTAGTTACACACAGGAGCTTATTTTATGAAGTCAAGCCCTTCATATGTTTGCTGTGCTCGAGGTCAAACAGGTCGTCCCACTGGGCTCAGACTACATGAGATCAGTCTGATAACCGACGGGGCCCGACAGACGCAGGGAACCAAAGTAGGGCTGACGTTTAATTAAATAATTAAAATAAATATTAATCTGTAACCGCACGGGACGTCACATCAACACATCATGTTCAGTATTTGTTTTTAAGGACCCAGAGTGGAGAGGCTGAAGAGAGTTACAGCTCCACACAGGCGTCAACCTCACTCGCTCTGGAAAGACTCCCGACTGGAAACAAAACGCTGACTGGTCCACTAATCATCCCTATTCGCCACGGCTGTGACATTTGCATCCCACAGCTCGCCACTGTTCCGGTTCAAGGAGTGACCCTGTGACCTGGAGTCTTTGAGCTGAATATGTTAACGAACATGGCGACTGCATTCAGGGTCACAGAGCCAGATGGCGGGAGGAAGGAGGAAGGAGGAAGGAGGAAGGAGGACTGTATCATAGTGGACGACAATTTTAAGATTAATCTGCTTTTAATGTTCTCTATTAATCTTTAAAATCAGTTGGTCGATAAAAGATGTTTCAGTTAATATCTCAGTCAACTGGTCAAACTGCTTCTCTCTCCTCTTGTTTCCTGACAAATCAAACATTTATCTCAACAATCTGATATAATCCATTCATTGTTTGTCAATAAACTTTAATGCAGTAGAGAAGTAACGGGAGGATTTGCCGCTTTCCTGTTTTATATAACCGTAAATGTAATAAATGTAATATATTTCTGACAGTTTCAGTGCACAGAATATTAAATATATGTACTATAAATCTAAACGAATGAGGAGCACAACATTAGTGTTGATTACTGTAATTAAAACTTTAGATACTGTTTAAATCTATAATGAAGACTATTTGATGCCGGTAGATTTAAGACAACCCTACCATTCTACCATTCGGGCTCTATATGAACTTGTCCTGTAGACTATCAACTATTCTGCACCGTAGTTTCCTGGAAGATGACGAAGGAGTAAACAGGTAAACCACCAATCCTGTTTCGATATCATACAGCTTTATGAATGATGTGACTATTGTTGCTGTGTGTCGCAGCTTCCTGTCGCAACCTACCAGTTTGGCTGCGTTCCCTGGCGAGGATGTCTGGTGGGGATGCGGAGGGGGTCGCTGTCTTCTCCTCGTTGCCTCTGCTGCTCCTCCTGCCCCTCCCGCCGACTCTGCCCTGGCCTCTGTCCCGTCGGTCTGTCCTGGGAGGGCAGCAGCTGAGTCCTCACCTTCTCTGACAAACTCTCTGTATCCTTGAACACACTGGAAAAGAATAATCACAAGTTTATTAAGCCTGTCTGTGGGAATGTTTATGCTATTTTTTTTTCACAGTGGCCAATAAAATGAGTCCTTTGAACCTTTTATGAAAACACAAAGAATCCCACACCAACCTGTCAAATGTGGGCAAATGGTCGGCATCCACGTGATCGCTGATGTTCACCGTCAGGTCTGACACCTGCTGCGTGCTGGAGTTCTTCACACACACACACACACACACAGAGTACGAGCGTTAAAAAGACAGAAACACGACTGCTGTTATACATTTGTTCTTCTCTTTTAACGAAGCGGATTGTAAACCGAACGGACGATATGACATTTAGAGACTTGCTTAATATCTAATAAATCTTTGTTTGTGCTGCCCTCCAGTGGTCAGTGTACGTGCTCATGCTGCTGCAGTGATGTAAGCGTGCACTCTGTACACTGTGACGTCATCCAGAAAAGGTCAAACTTACTTTTGACCGACAGGAATAATAACGAGTGAGTAAAGGAGGAAGCACACTGTGACCTTGTCATTTGTCGTTTAATAATTGAAGCTGGTTGTCGGTCTGCAGTGAGTTCACATCGGGTCATCTCTCAGGGTTCACACTCTTTATAAGAAATCAGTTCCCACGACCTTTACAGGAGTTTTTCTTGACACATTTTCAGGAAAACATCAAATATTTCCAGGATATTTGTTCATTTTCATCCGTTTCCAGGTGTTTCTGTGACTCAGTGTGTGTCTATGTGCCTACCATCAGGTTGAAGATCAAGGTGGAGTCGACAGCGATGGCTTTCAGCAGCAGCGGGACGTCACTGTCTCTGGCTTTGTATCGCAGACTGTACAGCTCCTTGCTGCTGCTCCAGTCAGCAGGCAGCAGCTCCGACTTCTTATCACTGCTGCGGGGCTGCAGGAGGGAGGGAGAGAGGGAGGGAGGGAGGGAGGGAGGGAGAGGGAGAGAGAGGGGAGGGAGAGAGAGGAGGGAGGGAGAGAGGAGGGAGGGAGAGAGGAGGGGGGGGAGGGAGGGAGGGAGAGAGGGAGAGGGAGGGAGAGAGGAGAGGAGAGGGAGAGGAGAGGAGGAGAGAGGGAGAGAGGGAGAGGGAGAGAGGGAGAGGAGAGGGAGAGGAGGGAGGGAGAGGAAGGAGGAGAGAGAGAGGGGGGAGAGAGGGGAGGGAGAGGAAGGAGGAGAGGGAGGGAGGAGAGGGAGAGGGAGAGAGGGAGAGAGAGGAGGGAGAGAGAGAGGAGGGAGGGAGAGGAGAGGGAGAGGGAGAGAGGGAGAGAGAGAGGGAGAGAGAGGGAGGAAGAGGAGAGAGGGAGAGGAGGGAGGGAGAGGAGGGAGGGAGAGAGAGGAGGGAGAGGGAGAGAGAGAGAGGGGAGAGGAGGGAGGGAGAGGAGAGAGGGAGGAAGAGGAGAGAGGGAGAGGAGGGAGGGAGAGAGAGGAGGGAGGGAGAGAGAGGAGGGAGGGAGAGGAGAGGGAGAGGAGAGGGAGAGGAGAGAGGGAGAGGAGGAGAGAGGAGAGAGGGAGAGGAGAGGGAGAGAGGGAGAGGGGGAGGAGAGAGGGAGGGAGGGAGAGGGAGAGGAGGGAGAGGGAGAGGGAGGGAGGGAGAGGAGAGAGAGAGGAGGGAGGGAGAGAGGAGGAGAGGGAGAGAGGGAGAGAGAGAGGGGAGGAGAGAGGGAGAGAGAGAGGAGAGGAGGGAGAGAGAGAGAGGGAGAGGAGAGAGAGGAGAGAGGGAGAGGAGAGGGAGAGGAGAGAGAGGAGAGGAAGAGGAGAGAGGCATTGAACAGAGATTATTATTAACGGCAGGGTAAACCCATCGGAATGTGTCCCACTACAACTGCTCCGTAGTGACACAACACTGGGTTAGCTAACTCCAGATGACATAACAGTTTCTAACAGCTCGTCAGTGAGATTAAACCTTCTGATCGATTCTGTATCGAACACTAACTGATTGATTCTGTATCAAACACTAACTGATTGATTCTGTATTGATTCTGTATCGAACACTAACTGATCGATAACCTCAGTTAGGAGCATAATGCTGCTACTCCAGGGAGCTAGCAGCCTGTCAGGTGAGCGAGGACAGAACCCCGTTGGAAAATATCACATTTTAATTTCTTCTAAAGAACCAACGGTCAATAAAATCAATAAAAACAGCCTCCAGCATCTAAACCCAAACAGTAAAGAGCTATTCTTTAATTCGGCGGTGGTTAATTCAGAAAGCAGCAGGTATTTTTATTACAATCTAACCCGGCTTCAGTTAATCACATGAACAAAGCTAATGTTAACGAACCTCGTCCCCGGAGCCGATGCAGCGGTACCCGCTCTTTATCATCTCCCAGTGGACGAAGCACACAACGGCGTCCTGTGGGCAGCTGATCCCGCCGGAGACACAGGTATACAACACCTCTAAGCCCGCCATGTTGTCTTCTATGTGGCGACTACAACGACATCGAGTCCGTTTCCCGTCGCTACGAAAGGAAAACGAAAGTGTGGACGCGGCGTCCGGAGGGGATCCCAGCAACGACGGACACTTCCTGTCTGCGCTTTTCAGAGTAAAAGCACCGGTGAAACGTTGACTGATAATTTCTTATGGAAATAAAACATTAGAGCTATTAAACACTTTTATTTTTATATTTAATCTTTATTCCACCAGGAAGTCCCCTTGAGATTTAAATATAGTACTACAGTAACCATGGTGATAGGTTACGTGGTTAATATTTGTTTAAGTTTTCTGATGATTATTAATATTGTTTTCATAAAGTTTAAATGTTTTAATTGCTGAAATAGAGTCTAAATATTTAAATATATATTTATATTGACGTTGTTGGACGGGTGAAGATAAACAGCGAGGTGCCGCAGGTGGGACTCGAACCCGCGACCTCAGTGGGTTCCCTTCATTAATCCGTGTTTAATCAGAGTGGATTTGGTTTTAATAAAACATTAAAACTATTAATGTTGAACCAGTGGCTTACAGTACGATGTGTTTTGATCCCACGCCTAAAGAGTCCCGGGGTGAAAAGGAGGTTCCGGATTTATAGTTCCGCGTTGTTAGTCCTGCAGTGGCTTACTAATAAAGATTATAAAGTAATTAACATTTCTGTTTCTGTCTAGTATTAGTATATTACTAATGTGTGTTCATATATATAACTGTAGAAAAAATAGCAAACAGTGTTCTCTAATAATAACAATAATAATAATAATATGTTTAATATAATATTTTTAATAATAGTAATAATGTTTAATAATAATAACAATATGTTTAATAATGCTACTACTAATAATAATAATGTTTAATTATAGTAATAATTTTTAATAATAATAACAATATGTTTCATTATAATAATAGTTTTAATAATAATAATAATATTTAATCATATGTTTAATAACAATATGTTTAATAATACGACTACTACTAATAATAATGTTTAATAATAGTAATAATGTTTAATAATAGTAATAATGTTGAATAATAATAACAATATGTTTAATGATAATAATAGTTTTAATAATAATAATAATATTTAATAATAATAATAATATTTAATAATAATATGTTTAATAATAATATGTTTAATAATAATAATAATGATTTAAAATGTATTTAACGGCTTCCGTAAATTTTTTCTTCATAAAAAAATAAAAAAGACATCATTTCCCGTCATGCACCGCGCAGGGCGGAGAGCGCTTCCTTGTCAAGATGGCGGCTCCCTTGACTCTACTTGTGATTTTATCCGTTACGATCCGTGCCGTTCTGTACCGATCCAGTCTAGCGGAGGTGATATCGGAGCGGGTGGAGGTCGTGTCTCCGCTGACCGCCTGGAAGAGAGGTAAACGGGGCTTTAGAGGCCGTTCCTGGGGCCGGTGGAGCCGTTTAAACGCGGCTCCGGTAACCGCCACCAACGGTTACCAACCGCCACCAACGGTTACCAACGGCTGCATGTTGTAGTCCTCAGTCCTTAAACCGTCCGGTGACTCAACGGTAACGGTTACCAACGGCTGCTGGTGTTCAATGGAGGGTTGTTGTTATTGTTGTTGTTGTTGTTGTTGTTGTTGTTGTTGTTGTTGTGGAGACGGAGCAGCAGCAGGAGGACTTCAACCTTCCTCAAGTGTTCCTCTAAAACACAATTTAAAGTATTTATAATTAATTTAAAGGTTTATCACAATGTAAACTGTCTCTTTATTATTATTATTATTATTATTATTATTATTATTAATAAACTATTGCACTCTGTACTGTGCAGCAACCATTTTAATCTATTAGTCCTTATAAATGTTTAATAATTATAATTAATTATACAGAACTTGTTGTTTTCCTTTTGACTGTTTACACTGCACTTCTGTTTATTGTTTGTTTTCTGTTTGTTGTTTGTTTTCTGTTTGTTGTTTGTTTTCTGTTTATTGTTTGTTTTCTGTTTGTTGTTTGTTTTCTGTTGTTTGTTTTCTGTTTGTTGTTTGTTTTCTGTTTGTTGTTTGTTTTCTGTTTGTTGTTTGTTTTCTGTTGGTTCAAGTTCAACAAACAATAATAATAACGTTTAATGTTAGAAGAAGAAATGCAGAAAATAAAGTTAAAATGTTTAAAACAAGTCAAACAAACGCGTTGGATTTTATATTAAAGGGTTTAAAAATAAAATCTAAAAGCTAACTGACAAAATAAGCAACAACAGAAAAAGACCATAAATATATAATCTTCCTCAAACTTAACTAAACTTAAACAAAAAGCACAAAATGATTCAGATACAAAGATAGAAGTACACCCTTTCCATCCTTTAAGTAAATGTTGTATAATAATTGTGTAATTTATTATAATTGTATATTTTTCTGACTATAACAAAGATATATGAACCTTTTTTGGTCCTTTCCATCTGTGGACCTTGAAGTGAGTGTTGTTTCTGTAAAGGGACAGCCGGGCTTCCACACACACACTCACACATATTACATTAGATAGTTTATTGTTTATTAAATTCTCATTAAAAGCAGTAGCCTCCAGTCTTCCTGGGGCCCTAAAATACACTACAACACTACAATTAGTGCATGTTTATGGTAAAATATCAGTAAAAACATCTTATTGTGATTCTTTTGGACAGATATTGTGATATGATTCAGAATTAATGCAGGATTTATCATCACAAAGTTCATTTTCACTTAAAAAAACTATTAAAATCATGTGTGAAATGTTCATTTTTTGAGGTTCTGTATGAAACAACCTCTGCAGCTCTACAGTACTTCATTATAAAGCTGTTTGTCACATTTTACCGTTTATAAGTATTTAAAATCCGAACATAAACTGAAATATAAAAGTACGAGACAGTTGGAGGAATGAGTGGAGGCAGATAATAAAAACGGTGTGTGTGTGATTTATGTGGAAACAGCCCTTCATCAGTTAGGTAACAGGAAGTTGCTTCATTGTAGGATACAATAATGAAACCATCTCTCTGTGATTTGTTGTTTTATTTATTGTTTGTTTGTTTGTTTGCAGTTGTTGAAGGTTTGGCTCTGCTTGACTTGGGGGTCTCACCGTACTCTGGAGATGTTTTCCATGAGGTGAGATGATCTCTCCGGACTCTCCTCACGGCTCAAACACCACAGTGCAGACGAGAGAACAGAGCAGTGCATGAGGAAGGTTAAAGAGCTCGGTTATTACCTCGCGTTTAATCAGCTCAACAGCCAGTGGTGCTGTGATTCCTCTCAGGCTGCACACAGCCGGGCCCTACCTTGGTGGAGGTTGTTGGTGCTGGATGGAGCCTGCAGAGGAAGAAGAACATCCACCTCCTCTTCATTGTGTTTGGTTTAAAAGTCCTTTAATATTCTTCTAGAAAGACTCTTGAGTCAGAAATAAGACAGTAAAGCACAGTAGTCCATCGATAGACAGACAGACAGACAGACAGACAGACAGATCTACTGTTCAGATAAATATGTTTTATTGTGTTTGTGCTCTGATGTCCGTCTCTTTTCCCTTCAGACTCCTCTCATCATTTACCTCTTCCACTTCGTGGTGGACTACGCAGAGATAACATTTATGGTGAGTGTTTTATGTTTTTATAAGCCGATCCAGCAGCAACATTTTGCTCTGAATATTTCCAGCTTATATTATATTTCTTTTTCTCTTCTGAATATAAGGGAGGGTTTTCTGTAATGTGAGCGATGATGGGGAAAGCTCAGCTGTCTGCACAGCGCTTTAATTTAAACTGCTCTCCACCATGATGATAACACATTTCTGCCTCTAGTGATTTAAAAGAGAAAGTCCGTAGGTGTGTTTTTTTATATTTGAGAGGCTCAGCTGCTCATTCTCTGTCTTCCTGTCTCTGTAGTTGGCAGATGTGATCACTGCTGTGGCTCTCTACATGGCAGTGATGGACTACAACAAACAAGTGGTAAGAAAACAGTAAAGTGTCCTTTTAAAAAAAAAAAAACAGAAAATAACAAATACAAGTATTTGGAAATTTATAAGGATGTTCCAGTATTTTTCAATCTGATAAACCCAGAATTTGACTTTAATTAAAGTGGAATCACAACATGTTTAAACACATTAAAGCTGTAACATGATATTGATATGGATCGTATGCCTAACAAGAAATATGTTAAATTATGTTTCTCTGCTACATGACAGAGCTGTGATTAATAAATTATAGAGTTTCTACAGATAAGACTTTGTTATTCAGTGTTATTTAGTATTGTATGATCGGTGGGTTGTATTTCCCTGTGCTTGTAGTGACGTATGTGTCGATGCTATTTCAGTTCAGAAAGCAGAAATACGCCTTGGAGGCAGACCGCTACCCCCTCGACTGCCTGGAGCTCATCAGAAGCCCAAAAGAAATGTACTACATCCCTCTGAAAGTCGCCATGTTGTAAGTATCCACAGCAACGCTTCCACACGGCAAACACCCAATTATGTCTGATTATGACGGAGGACGTGATCCTGGTTCTGGCTGCGAGAGACGACTCGCTGAACCCCGAGCGTAGCTTTCTGATGGGGGATCAGGCAGGATGGGCCAGAGACAGATCTCAGGGATCAGGAAAGTCAACAACCTTGGTGTCAGTAAGCTTGTAGATGTTGTCAGACTACAAAAGTCATTCAGGAGTCTTTTCTTTCAAGAAAAAAGTGCAAATTCTCTGATTTTTAGAGATTTCAGATGTGAATATTTTCTGGTTTCATTCGTCCTCTGTGACCGTGGACTGAATATCTTTGGGTTGTGGACCAAACAAGACATTTTAGGACGTCACCTTGAGCTTTGGGAAACATTGATCAACATTTTCTGACATTTTATGGACCAAACAACTAATTGATTGAGAAAGTGATAATGAAAGTAATCGTTAGTTGCAGCCCTACATGACCGTAGACTCTAGTTTTTATAAGCCCTCTGGTGTTTATTATGAAATGGAAATATGAAGCAAAAAATGACTTTAAAGGTTATGAAGGAAACACCAGAGCTAATTATCTCTCATCTTAGAGCCTTTATGATATCAGGAAACTAATTCTATCATCACATCGACTGTTCTTCTCTCACAGTTACCTGTTGAACCCGTTCACCATCCTGTCCTGCGTCGCCAAGTCAACCTGTGGTCTGAACAACGCCGTCATCGCCCTCTTCATCCTTACTACAATAAAAGGTCATTAAGACTGACTCTATTAGTGCCCTTTCTACCTGAGTGGACTGTTTTCTAAAAGCAGCACGTTGACAGTCTCTGAAATATAAAACTTTATCTTCAGGCAGTTTGTTGAAACTCCTCCTGAGCAACTCAAAACGACTCCAACAAGAAAAACACGAGGTGATAATTTATGTTTGTGTTGCAGGAAATGTCTTGCTGAGTGCCATATTTCTGTCCCTGGCCACATATCAGTCCATCTACCCTCTGACTCTGTGCGCTCCAGCACTGCTGTATCTGATGCAGGTATGTTTTAAAACTTGTTCTGTCCCTTTGTCTCAACTGCTGCCTTTTTCACTCCTTTATCACCTATTTATTTATAATATGATTTATAGCTTTTTGATTAATGCCGTTCCATGTGTTTGTCTCTCCTCCGCCAGCGTCAGTTCATCCCGGTGAACTTCCGGCGTGTCAGCTTCTGGTGGTTCATCGCGCAGTACGCCTTCATGTACCTGGGCAGCCTGTTCGTCATCGTCGGTCTCTCCTTTTTCCTGCTCGGCTCGTGGGACTACGTGCCGTCTGTCTACGGCTTCATGTGAGTGATGAGCCGAATGTCTCAGCAGAGCTTTGTTCACTGTGGATTCAGGATTCAGGAGTAAAGCTGAATGTAAACAGAGCTTTTTGTTTGTTTACAAGAAAACTCCAGCGGGCATCTTTTTAAAAGTGGGACCATATTTACAGATGTAAATCGTTGGCATGTAGGGATATCGTAATCCAAAGCAATACACACACAGTAAGGTCACGTTCAAACTAACAGTACCACTGTGTTGAAGAAGAGGTTGAGCTGATGTGGGTGTGACGCTACAGGTACTCCTGAGGAAGCTTACAGACTTAAAGTGGCAATGTGGAGATTTCCATTGATATAAATATCTGTTAAAGGAGTCAGTGGCCTCTAGCGATGTAATTTCAGATCGCAACTTCCTCGCTTCACCCTCCTTTCCCAAGCGTGAAGGGGAAACTATGTTAGCCACGAAAGGCCCTCTTTCTAAAGTATAATACGTCTGTAATGCTACACAAATGGAACCTTTAACAGCAATCGCATTTTAGCTCGTCATAGTTAATATTATAATCAGTTTATATTTTGGTTGGCAACAGGAAACTGCCGTACAATAATGTCCCCATCAGCAGTACCACAGTTTGTCCACCAGAGAGCGCTGAATGTCCCTCTCAGTATGTGTTCATGTTTAAAACTGGCTGATTAAATGAGACTTCCCTTCCCTCTCTCCAGTCTCTCAGTTCCAGACCTGACCCCCAACATCGGCCTCTTCTGGTATTTCTTCGCCGAGATGTTCGAACACTTCCGCCTCTTTTTCCTCTGCGTTTTCCAGATCAACGTCTTCTTCTACACCATCCCTCTGTCCATCAAACTCAAGTAAGTCCTCCGCGCGCCGTCTGTCTTTTACTTTTCATCTTTAACCTTCATTCTCTTGAATAATCCTGTCTGTGTCTGTGTCTGTGTCACAGGGAGCATCCAGTGTTTCTGATCTTCATGCAGTTAGCTGTGATCTCCATCTTTAAGTCTTACCCCACTGTGGGAGACATCGCCCTCTACATGGCCTTCCTCCCTGTCTGGAGTCACCTACACAGATGTGAGTGAATATAACAAAGAACAGTAATTATCACAACACCCACAATTCTTCTTCAGTATCAGGTTTTCACCTTTGAGTGGAGGCTAACAGCATTTAGCTTAGGGATAAGCTTGTATTTGGATAAACTCCTTGAAAAATGATTGATTTTTAACAAACTCTGGTGTTTTATCTACCGAATGACTCCTTTAAACCTCAAAAACCTTTTAAAATTTGAAATGAAACGAGCCCGTCATCCTATTTGTTGTTAACTAGCGTCCCTTGTTAACCCCTGACTCTGGAAAAACAAACATTAAATAATCATAATCAAAACATATAATCCAAGTTAATAGTGCTGTGGGTATAAAGGAGGAGGGGAGATGTGATGATGAAGCCTTTTGGTTCAGGTACAGAGCACACTCAAGCTACAAGATGGAATTTAAATCATCCAGAAAGATGCTCAGTATACATGGTATAAATAAATAAATATATAAATACATGGCAGCAGCTGATATGCATTGATCATCACTGTGGAGGCCTGCTGTCGTGAAGGAGAGCAGCTGCTGGTGGACGTAGATGAAACAACAGCGTATCAGTGGAGGCTTTTAAATTCATCCTCAAGGGGGAGTGAATGTTTGTCTCAAATATCCCAACAGCTGTTGAGATGTTTCACATCGTAGCTCTCTAAAGCAAATGTTTCATTTTAAATAAGATTTATTATTTTCTCTTCTTTCCTGTTCAGTCTTGAGGAACATCTTCCTGGTGTCCTGCGTCCTGTTGGCCTGTTCGGCTCTCTTCCCCGTTCTCTGGCACCTCTGGATCTACGCCGGCAGCGCCAACTCCAACTTCTACTACGCCATAACGCTGCTGTTCAACGTGGCACAGGTAGGATGGCCTGGAGGGAGGCCGGGGGGGATTTTGTTGTTTGACATTTTGACGTGTCGCAGTAAAAAGTATATAAATATCTGCTGAGAGAAAGGCCTCTCACCATTATTTAAATGAATTATTTAAGAGCAAAGATGAGTTGAACTCTCAGTGTCCTGATGTTTATTTCCCCTCAGATTCTGCTGGTGTCGGATTATTTCTACGCCTTCTTGAGGAGGGAACACCATCTCAGCTATGGACTGTATCTGAAGAGGAAAGATGGCTCCGAGGCTACACTAGTCCTTAAATAAAACGCACACACACACACACACACACACACACACACACACACACACACACACACACACACACACACTCACTCATACTGCCTGGCTGGGCAGTCTCTACCACGAAGGGAGAAACAGCTCGAGGTCTCACTTCATCTTCACCGGGAGCAAACACAAACTAAGGAGGATAAAAGCCGCTCTGGTCCTCGGACGAAAACATTAGCACACGTACAGGAAGTGCGTCTGGTGTGACGTTATACGCAAACTGCAAGTCACAACATACAACATGACGGACACATGCAGAGACGGGATGTAGAATCTGGCTCCTGCCATGTGAAACAAACAGACAACAGCTAAACATCTTTATCCTCCTTTTTCTCATTTTTTTCCTCTTGAGCGCTCTTATTTTGAAGCCTCGCTCTACTTGGAACCTGCACCGACGGGGGGTGGATTTTATTTTGAAGCCTTTTTTTCGTCAGAGCCATTCCTAGATGAATTTTATTCTGACACACACAGTTTATCCTGCAGCTCCGTCCTGGACAGCGTTTTATTTTGAAGCACCAACTCTCGTGCAGCTTTTTTTTTGTCTGAAAGGAATCGTCACTCTTTGGGTGGGGGCTTTTATTTTGAAGCCTTGTTCCGCCTGTGGAGGGGAAATTTGTGTCTTGTCATACTGAATGTGGTCAGTGCAGTTAACCTCACACACCTCACACACCTCTTTGCCATTGGTTGAGGCTGCGCAGGTCAAAGTTCACCAGTGAACCTCTTAAAGCTGCAGTAGGTAACTTTTAGACTCGTGCAGATGCCATAAAGAGCCAGATTATCTGTCTGATGTAAAACTGTCAGGACAAAAAGTGATTTTTATAAAAGTTACCTGCAGCTTTAAACACTAAACTTAATATGAAAAGCTCCCACTGAGTTAATAATTCCTGATATCCAGCCGCTGTTTCATGTTTACCTGATTACATTAGTGTTGAAACTGGTATCTATAGTGGCGGGAAGAGGAAGAGGAAAACTATTTTTAAAGGGTTTATATGGAAGTCTAAAAAATGTCCATTTATCTCTTTTTCTCACCACTTTCTTACAGTCGACTCTTTAACGAACAGACTTCAGATTATCAGTGTTGCATCTCATCTCAAGTGAAAACCAACACTAACATCATCCTGGTACATAACTCTGGAGTAGTGAAAGCTTCAGCAGCCTGGAAACAGACAGTTCCTGTTAACCACCTGACCGAGAGCAACAGTGAATGTGTTAAAACAACTGAAGTGCTTAAGTTCAGGATCTGTGCAGAGCAGAAACAGGAGGTTAAGATTTCAATCCCACGTATAAAGTTTGGGCTCATAATGTGCCACTAAAATGAATCGATAACGACTTAAGTTTCATATTTTGGCTCTATTCCTGCATGCAGATTAACATAATTATTAATAATTATTATTAAAGTTAGATTTAACCTCTTTAAAATGCATCATGTGCCTGTCAGAAAGTGTTTGAATAATGTAAAAGTTGCTGGAATATATGTTTATTTGCTTTCTGGCTGACAGTTAGATGAGAAGGTATCACACTCAGGTGTATGAACAGCGTATTCAATCATTTATACTCTCACATCGTGTGAATCTGTGGGTTTAAGAACTGCTGGTTCATGGATTTTGTTATCAGAGCTAGGCGAGTTGTTATACTAAGCTAAACCGGCTGCTGGTTGTGGCTTCCTGTGTAACAGCTGTATCAGTCTTCTCATCTAACTCTGCCAGAAACTAAATAACCACTTTTCCCCCCCAGAAATATTCTTCAAATTTAGGACATAAAAGACGTCATGAACAGTATTTTAGTGGGAAACTCGTATCCAAGGTGACACGAACGCAGCATCAGCACCTCATTGTACTCCCAACGTGTCCTGAATCCATACCACACTAACTATATACAGTATGTGCTCACATACTAACATCATAGTTCAGTTTGTGTCCAAAAAGTCCTAATATTTTAATATTTGTACTAACAGGACATTATACAATATGTGTGACGTCTCACTGCCAGTTAAACTTTAACAGGTTGAATATTTCTTTTGATTTCCTCCTAAGCTCCTCCATTTCCTTTCTGCATTGCATTGTGGGAGAACAGTGTCCATCAACAGCACTCTGCACACTGACTTCTTTGTTACACTTAATTAATTCAACAGTATGAACATTATACATGCTGATTTAAATGAGTGTGTAGTGTGGAATTGGGACATCTTTCCATTTGTTTACCTTTTTCATTTAATCTAGAAACCAGAAAATTAAGACTAATGAAGAATTTCATATTTAAAAATGTTACTGATACATATTTTATAAGGATTTAATTCACACCCAGAAAAAAAGCCTTAAACAGCCTCAGAAGTGAACACACGTTTTGTTGGACGCTGATATAAAGTTTTCTGTTTGACTTTATATAATAATCTACAGATGAATGTTTTTGTTTATTAATTGGTTTCTCAATGTTAAAGTAATAATGAGCAAATTTCACACACTAAACAAAAGACCTGCTGCAAGAATTTCAACACGCGCGGCTAAATACGACCAAAAAACGCAAATTATTGTAAAATTATTGGTTTTCATGTGAAGTGACATTAAGATCAGTGAAGAAGAAAAGAAAAGCAAACTGTCCAATATAAAGAAGTAACGTGTGAGACACAAACACAGACGGGTTGTGATCCGTCTTTTTACTCCTCGGTTTGATACCAATGAGTGAGGAGTAATTTGTGATATTTATTTATTTGCTGCACTAAAAAAAACTTTGCAAAGAGATTTAATTTTGTTTTTATTCTAAGAAGGAGGGAGCTCTTGTTTTGCTACTGTATAAAAAAATGAATGTGTTTTTGTTTTGTTAAAGATATTAAACTGCTGGGTTTGAAAGGGGCCGATGTTATTATTTGAAGAATGAGTGAACGTGTCACAATTAAGGATTATTAAAGTTGAGGTGTTGGTTTAAAACGTCTGGTTTTGTAATTGTGTGTCGTTGGAAATACCTTTTCAGGTCATATCCATGTGGAAATTATTTATTTTAATGAGTAGTGTTTATCATTTATCAAGTATTACTATTATTTTGTTTTATATAGATATAAAATTGTGTATGTTTTTCTTGAAATGTTACTTTATTGGTAATTTTTATTTTTTAAAAACAGGAGAAATGTGTTTTGGGACGTGGCCAACGGTTTATTTTCAGTATGTAAGTAAGTGAGGTTATTATGGAGGCAGTGACACACATTTGAACTATATGGATCCAAATTGTGCCACTGTGATGGAAAAAAGTCATTATAATAAGAAACTTTCTCAAAATGTTGACTTAGTAACTCAAAACAATAACGAAACTTTCTCAAAATAATAAGAAACTTTCACAAAATAATAAGAACATTAATATTTTGACTAAGTATCTCAATATAATAATAAACATTATCATTATAATGAGATACTTTCTCAAAATGTTGACTTAGTAACTCAAAACAATAACGAAACTTTCTCAAAAAAACTTCAAAATAATAAGAAACTTTCTCAAAATAATAAAAACGAACATAATAATTAATATTTTGACTTAGTATCTCAATATAATAATAAACATTATCATTATAATGAGATACTTTCTCAAAATGTTGACTTAGTAACTCAAAATAATTACAAAACTTTCTCAAAAATAATAATAAACTTAATATTTTGAACATAAGATATATAATATATAATATTTGAGAAAGTTTCTCATTATAATAACTTAGAGAATCCGTTTTTAATACGTCACATTGACCGTAGAACGCGGTCCAAATTTTCCCGGGAAAATTATTACGTCACAACTCCTCACCTCCTCCGCCTCTCAGAGGAAGGGTGCGTTTGTTTTAAGTCGCGGGCCGCACCGCTTTAGCTCGTAGACCTTTACTATCACCGGTTGAGCGAGCCTCGCGAGGGTGGTGTGTGTGCAAACCAAACGCACTGTATGTTTAAGCACCGCCCCTTTAAAACGCACCCACCAATGAGGAGGCGCGACGTCAGCGGGCAGATTAGAATATTCATTATTTTTCGCGGGCTTTGAGTGTCACGTGGTCGTTTCGCGCGAAAAGCGACTCCCGGCAGGAAGAAGAAGTTTCTTTACAAGAGGCAGAGACAGACGGACACGGAACAATGGCGGTGAGTGAAAACGGTTAAAAACAGACCGAATATCTCGTTATAGAGTTTAATATTTACACTGAAGCAGGAATAAGTTACAATAAACGGTTTTATGTTTGTTCTTTGAGTTTCCTGCCGTTAATAAGGTTTATAAGTTCACTTCAGTCCGATAACAACAACGACAGGCTGAATTAAAATCCTGTTTTTAAAGTCAAATCTGCGTTAAATCATAAATATATGTTATAACCAGTGGCTGTTTACTGCTGCTAACATAAACAATAATCTGTTGTTGTTGTTGTTGTTTGTTCTGTTGCTGTATAAAAGCAGACTCGCCATGTGGCTTTAGGTTTTACCTGCTGGTTAAAGAAAGTGTCAGTTTAGATGTTTGACTTTAAATCAAATATAAGACATTAACTGTAGATAATATCTAATATATTTATATAGAGAAGTAATAGTACCAACTATAAGTACAAACAGGTCAAACAATAAGACTGTGGCTTTATTTTTGGTGAGAAGGGTTCAAATTAAGTGATTTTTATTATATTTTGTTGGTGTATATCCTATAATTAATGTTTGAATATATGCCCCGAGGTAAAAATACACTGCTTTTTATTTATTTATTAGTAATATAATTATCAAATCAAATAGAAATACCTCCAAACTTCACTTCCATCACTGATAACAACGATTAAATGGATGTTTATATACATTTAAAACATAAAGCTTTCAGAGCTTTAATGTACAAAAACATCAGCTGTCAACTTGCGTACATTATTATCTGAAAATTATTTTGTATTTCAGGAGCCGTCGATCAATAAACTGTAAATTTAAATGTAGATTCAGTTCTTAATAATCCTAAATAAGGGAGTTTTGTCGTAGCAGCTGCAGAGTCACATTAAAATCACATAAATTAAAGAGACAACAATCATTAAAAAGAGAATATATAAGCTGAACAAAAAACTAAAACCACACATTTAACCTTTAAAGAAACAAACTGTAAACGCACTGTAATGTCGCGTGTTGTCGACAGGATTCCTCCGAGTCGTACCACATGGCCACCAGCCCCAGCCGAGCCTCCCGGAGAGGAGACCTCACCTCCAGCCCCGGAAGAGACCTGCCTCCCTTCGAGGATGAGTCGGAGGGGCTGCTGGGAGACAGCCACCTGCCCGGAGAGGAGGAGGAGGACGGAGACGGGGAGGAGCTGATCGGAGACGGGATGGAGAGGTGAGGATGGATCTTTTTTTTTGAAGACACCAGATTTACTTTGTGTTTTAAAAACAAGTTTTGGGGCTTGATGACGAGTCTTTTCTCAGGGATTACCGTGCCATCCCGGCGCTGGATCAGTACGAGGCGGAGGGTTTGGACCTGGATGACGAAGATCTGTCGGAGCTGTCGCCTGGAGCCCGGGCCGCCGCCGAGGAGGCGATGAGGAGGAGGGACAGGGAGCAGGGCGTCAGCGGACGTCTGAGGAGGGGGCTGCTCTACGGTGAGGATTCGATGGATTGATTGATTTGGATGTGAAACATAAGCATACGTTATAAGAATCAGATGTTAGTCGGAGGTGTGATGGACATTTTTTTTGCCGTTACACAGACAGCGAAGACGAGGACGACGAGCGCCCGGCGGCTCGGCGAAGGCGATTGGCTGAGAGGGCAGCAGAGGGCGTTGCGGACGGAGAGGAAGAGGAAATGATCGAGAGCATTGAGAACTTGGAGGATATGAAGGTACCTGTAGCTCCTCTCCTGTCAGAGCGGTATGTTTCCAGCGGCGGTAGAGGAGGTCTGACGGTATCTTCCCCGTCTGCAGGGTCACACTGTGAGGGAGTGGGTCTCCATGGCGGCTCCCAGGCTGGAGATCTACAACCGCTTCAAGAACTTCCTGCGGACCCACGTCGACGAGAACGGCCACAACGTCTTCAAGGAGAAGATCAGCGACATGTGCAAAGGTAGCACGACGTTCAGACTCGTGTTTTATTAAATACACACTGATGAACATTCAACTGATTTCTGGTTTCAAATGAATCAACTTGAGTCTGTCGTTCCAGAGAATAAGGAGAGTCTGGTCGTGAACTACGAAGACCTCGCCGCCAGAGAGCACGTTCTGGCCTACTTCCTGCCAGAGGCTCCCACTGAGATGTTGAAGGTGAGTGTGGTTCTGTTGTTACTAGTCTTATTTTATTTTATTTTTACGTTGCCGTTACACAAACCTTTCTGGTGTGGTTTCTAATGTTTAAACAACTGGACCATGAGCACCTGGAGGAGTCTGTCAGCATCCATCAGAAGGAGTCAAACTTACTCCCTTTTTGTTCATTTGTAAAGAGTCACAATGAAGATAAAACAGATTTAAACCTGTTTTGTTTTCCCGTCAGGTGTTTGATGAAGCAGCTAAAGAAGTGGTGTTGGCCATGTACCCGAAATACGATCGCATCGCCCACGAGATCCACGTCCGCATCTGCAACCTGCCGCTGGTGGAGGAGATCCGCTCGCTCAGGTAATGTTTAACTCCTGACACTTTACACTTCGGTCCTGGAAGATAATGCTCATGCTGCGTTCATGTCTTGTGGGATAGATGGTAAAGAGGCGAAAGATTCCCACAGTAATGTTAACAACAATCAAAATAGTTGTATTATTTTAGAGTTGGTCGTTGGTCACAGTATTATTTTATAACAATAAAACAATAAAGTTTGGATTTAATTACTCTGAAAGAGACAAATTGGCTGATTTGAGGCGTCCGTGTTTACTCAGGTTTGCAGGCACGTCTGTAAGTCAGATATTTCCTCGGCCTAATTACTGGACTTGGATTTTGATGTTGGTGCTAATAAAAGTCAAAAACATATATAATATAATATAATATAAATAGAATATGAATGCAGCACAGGGTTTCTCTTTTTCCTGCAGCGTTCTTCTGTTAATGTTCTACAGACTGTAAAGTCCTCGGAGGCAAATGTCTAATTCATGGTTTATATAAATAAAATTGACTTCCTATGTACTTTATACACAAACACGGCATGAATCACATTCTGCTGAGAGCAGCGCAGACATCTGGATCAATATGAGCAGATGGGATGGTAGAAAATGCATGTTTCCTGAAGTCTAATGTCTACAAACACAAAAACACAAGGACGTTTTTAACCTGTTAGGAAACAGTTTCAATACTGATGCTTCTATAATGAAATAAATAAACCAACGAGACCATCAGAGAGAAGACGAGTCTGAGAGTTGTTTCTTCTCTCCGCTTCAGGCAGCTCCACCTGAACCAGCTGATCCGGACCAGCGGCGTGGTGAGCAGCTGCACCGGCGTCCTCCCCCAGCTCGGCATGGTCAAGTACAACTGTAACAAGTGTAACTTCGTGCTGGGACCCTTCTTCCAGTCCCAGAACCAGGAGGTGAAGCCGGGCTCCTGTCCCGAGTGTCAGTCCCAGGGCCCCTTCGAGATCAACATGGAGGAGGTGAGAACGTTTTGTTCACGTTGATGGATTTGTAAGTGATCTAAAATATAAAGAACATTCACATACTTAACCAATCGTGTCCCTCCTGCAGACTGTGTACCAGAACTACCAGCGAATCACCATCCAGGAAAGTCCCGGTAAGGTAGCAGCCGGCCGCCTCCCGCGCTCCAAAGACTCCATCCTGCTGGCCGACCTGGTGGACAGCTGCAAGCCTGGAGACGAGATCGTGAGTGGAGTTACAAACATAAATATTTCTCTAAAAGGAAAATAGTTGCAAAAAAGTTTCTGCCTAAAATATACTGATGATTTTCCCCCTCTTCTCAGGAACTGACGGGCATCTACCACAACAACTACGACGGCTCTCTGAACATGGCCAACGGCTTCCCGGTGT